TATTTAAAACCTCGCCTCTGAGAAGACGCCTTCCTCCCCTGTCCCCAGACGCCTTGTGTCTTTGGCTTACGCTGCGTCATAAGATCCAGTGCCTTGCGGAGAGGGACTCTTCCAGGTCCCATGTAAGACCCTTCCACGGCATACTTCCTCCCCCTGAAGCTGCCCAGCATGGGACAGCGACAGCCAGCAGGCCGACTGGGACAGGACTGTCCAGCGTCCTTGTGCGTGGCCGAGGTGCTGACCCGCAGAGCGCCTCTCGGCTCCACCGGAACACTGACTCAGTGTTCATGCCCCTTGTGGACTGAACGTTCACGTCCCCCCCCCCCCCAAATTCGTGCCCTGAAGTCCCAGCCCCCACTGTGCCGGTGTTAGAAGGTGGGGACTTCAGGAGGGTGGAGCCACTGTCCATATAAAAGGGACTCTCCCAGCTCCCTAGCCCCTGCTGCCGTGTGAAGACAGAGAGAACATGGCCATTTGTGAACCAGGAAAAGGGTCCTCATCAGACCCCAAATCGAACAGCGCCTTGACCTTGGGCTCCTCAGCCTCCAGAGCTGTCATAAATCCATGTTGGTTGCTAAGTCATCAGTCTAGGGTTATTTCTGTATATAAAGGGGTATATATATATCTATATAGCAGCCCAGGTGGTCTGAGACTGTCCCTTTCAAACATTGCTGCTAGGACAGAATGAACACTGGTCGCCCACTGATCCGCCTCTGGTTACTTTCTGTTAGAGAATGTTTCAAATACATGTAAAAAAACAGAAGGACCAGCCCGATGAAGCCGCCATGTGCCCATCACAGCTTCAACAGTCATCCTCCCATGGCTAAGCTTGTTTCAGCTGAACCCCCAGCTCCTCTCCCCCCGATGGCTGGGTTGTTTTGAGGTGCATCCCAGACGCAGGCCGTTTCACCGGGTCACTTACAGATGACCACACAAAGTCCTGGCCTGAGTGATATGCACGTAGGTGGTGCCTACCCAATACCTAAGTGATTATACCTGTCGTTCAGAGATAAGGACTTCCATTCTCATGCCTAAACCCTTAAAATTTCCCTTAGAAGCACAGACTATCCCGTTAGTGTTAAAGTTTCTCCTGTGGTCTTACAATATTTTTGTTTTTGCAGTTGGTTTGTGTTAACCAGGACCCACATGTGGTTTAGACCTTGCCTTGGACCGATTGGTCTCCCACGTCTCCTTCGTTGGGACAGCTCCCCTCCCTCGTGGAACTCGTGGCCGCCATTTTCATGGCCGTGGTTAATGCGGCACACACTTGGCATTTCATTCTAGATGTTTTAAAATTCTGACAGTGCTAACGTTGTAACGTTTTTATTATAAAAGATGCATGCGCTCAACCAAAAAAAAAAACTTCAATGTCAAGCGTATGAAAGTAAAATATTCTTGTTTCACCACTTCAAAATTACTGCCAACATTTTGGGATTATTTTTTACTAATCTGTATGTATTCAACCATATAATTTTACATAGTATTCCTTCTGCTCTTACTTTGGGCTTAATTTGCTCTTCTTTTTCTAGTCCTTAAGGTAGACACTTAGATTTTCCTAAATTTTTTGCTTTTCATGTATCAACATTGAAAGCTATAACTTTCCATGTAGGCATGTTGAGTTTTCATTATCCGATAATTAGAAATACTTTCTCCTTTGTGATGTTTTTTTTTATCTTTGTTTAGAAATGTATTGCTTAATCTCCAAATATTTGGGGGATTTTCCAGATATCTTATTGTTACTAATTTCTAACATACTCTGTGTGATTTCAGTCCTTTTAAATGTTTTGAAATGTGGTTCATGGCCGGCAGTCATTTTCTTTGGGGAGTACCCTTGTGTCCATTCTGCAGACACTGGGTGTAATGCTCTTGTCAACTGGACGTGCCCACAGCTGAGTGTGAAACCGGACCCCCACATCACACGTAAAAACTAACTCTAACCAGATGGATCGAAACCACACGGTGGGTGGGGTAGAAGGGAAGCTGGATGAGAAAAGCTGGGTGTCCCTCAATCTTCGTGACCTCGGTCGGGCAGAGCTTCCTTAGACAGGACCCCACAGGACACCCAGTGAAAGGACAAGTTGGTATAATTGCATCTTCTGAGAATTAAAATGTTTATGCGTCAAAGGACAGCAATAAGAAAGTAAAAAGACAACACACAGGATGGGAAAAGTATGTACAAATCAGATACCTGGTTAGACTTTTGTGCCTAGAGCACATGAAGGACTCTGAAAACTCAACAATAAAAAGGCAAATAACCTAATAAAAATAAGCCAGTGATCTGAATAGGCATTTTTCTCAAGACGATACGCAAATAGCCAATAAGCACAGGAAAAGATGCTCAGTGTAATACCTATCAGAAAAATGCAAATAAGAGCCACCGAACATCACTTCACACCGAATTAGGATGGCTGTAAAGAAAACACGCACACACACACAGGCTGAAGCAAGGCTGGCCTGGATGTGGAGAAATTGGAACCCCAAAATGTAAAATTTGGGAAACAGGCTGATGAAAGGCAGAGTTGCCCTATGACCCAGCAGTTCCACTTTCCCGAACACTCATGGTAGACCCAAGAGAAATGAAAACACGTGTCTGTGCAGAATCTTTGCAAGAATGTTCTTGGCAGCATTATTTGTAATAGCCCCAAACTGGAAACAACCCAAAGGTCCATGAACTGATGGGTCAGTCGTGTGTGGTCTGTGTAGTCGATGGAATATTATTTGGTGGTCAAAAGGGAATGAAGCTTCCCCTACATGCTACAACCGTATGCTAAGTGGATGCAGCCAGTCCCGGGAGGCCACGGATTGGATGACCCTATTATTATGTGAACTATCCAGAGTGGGCAAGTCTGTAGAGACAGGAAGTAGGTTAGTGGGAGTCTGGGGGTGGGGGTGGCAGTATAACGGACGTGGGGGGTGAGGGCTGCAGGCTACGGGATGATGAAAATGTTCTCAAAGTAACTGTGGTGATGGTCCCACAACTTGTGGATATACTAAAAATCATCAAAATGAATGTACGTCTTAAAGGAATTGTATCAGGTGTGAATGATATCTCAAATTGTTTAAAAAAAAAGAGCCAGGAGCACCAACAGTTCAGGATGAGGACCCTTGGTATTTCTTGACCCCGTGGTGACGGGAAGGAGAAGGTCTCAGCTGAAGGTAATTGATTGGAGCGACGGAAGCCCACTAGGGGAATAGGCATTGGGTGGATGTTAAGGGGAGAACAAAGTCCCAGGTGAATGAAACCTACCTGATCAAAGATTTTAAAAAGTCAGGTTGAGTTGGTTGATAATGTTACTCATATATTCCACGTTCTGATTGATTCATTCATTTCTTCTGTCAGTTTTTGGCTCCAGATACTTTAGAACTCTGTTACTAGGTGCTCCGCACTTGAGGTTATCCTGCGCCCTCGATGTATCTAACCCTCTTACCGTGACACGGCCGTGCTACCCTTAGTTATACCACTTGCCCAGAAGTCTGCGCCTTTGATGCCACACCAACTTTCTAACACTTAGGGCCTGCAATTTATTTTTTTCCCACATTTTTATGTTCAGTTGGCCTGGACATTTGTATCTAAAGTGCTTGTAAAAAAAACACTGTTGATTTTTTTGAGAGCGAGAGGGGGAAACATCGATTTGTTGTTCCACTTGCCGATGCATGCATTGGTTGGTTCTTGTGTGTGCCCCGACTGGGATTGAACCCACAAGCCTGGGGTATTGGGACGATGCTCTAACCTCCCGAGCTGCCCGGCCAGGGCCAAACGCGTTCCTTGCGATCAGCACAGCTGTGTCGTAAATGTATTTGCCCCAGAGTCTACTTTTCATGTGATCTCTGCTAGCCCAGTCCATGAGCGGTGGTGGGGGAGGGGAGCTGTTCTAGGCAGGAGAATGCAAATTAGGGATGTACAGGGAGAACAAGATAGAAAATTTTAGCTTCCTTTCTATTCGAGTTACTTAAGATGATTTGTCTATGGGCATCATTGTTATACTCATGTAATATCTATTTTTTTTGTTTTCCTACAATCTGCTTAAAGTTCATAATACAGTATAACAGACCAGCCTATTCAGAAAATCATTTTTTATACTGTATGAGCAAATTAAGCATAAACATTTTTCACTAGGTAGATATTTGCAAAAAACAAAACCCTATGCATCACCTTCCCTCCGTGAAGGAGAAGGTAAAGGCATTGGTGTTGGATTGATAGGGAAGCTACAAGTGAGATATATTGAAACTCAAGGGAATACAAACCAAAAGATAACAGTGAGCAATTTGATTGGGTTTTATTTATGAAGAATTGGTTAGAAATCCCCTTTAGAGAGTTTAAAGTTAGACTTAGGCTGTGGCATGGAAATTCTCACAAGTGGTTTACATTTTTTAAAATTTTATTTATTTTTTTAAATATATTTTATTGATTATGCCATTACTGTTGTTCTATTCCCCCTTCTTTCCCCTCCACCCTGCACCCCCTCCCCCGCCCTTCCCCCCTTTAGTTTATGACCACGTGTCACAAGTTCTTTAGATTCTACATTTCCCCTACTATTCTTGCCCACCCCACTATCTATTTTCTTCCCACTATCTATGCTACTTATTTTCTGTACCTTCTCCCCCCTTCTCCTCCTCCCACTCCCCTGTTGCTAACCCTCAATGTGATCTCCATTTCTGTGGTTCTGCTCCTGATCTAGCCGTCCTCTCTTAAATTTATGTGCACTTAAGAAAATAATTAAGCAGCAATACAGCCAGGAGGAGGCACACTGCGTATCAGAGGGAGCACTTTCTCCACACCGTCCCTCCGCTCAGCTCACTGACCCTGCGCTGAGAGCGGGTCGGGAGTGCCCCCTCCAGTGCACCTGCCTCCCACTCTCATGGCATCCCCGCCCCATGCCACGCCCCCCAGTCTCCCCGGACTCCCAGGTTGCTCAGATGCCCCCGTCTTTGCATTGCCTGAATGCGGCAATGGCCCCTTTCTATGATGCTACAAAGCTCATTTTTCCCATTGCTTCCAGTCAAGCTGCAGCTCCAAGCAGAGGAGAGAGGGGTCGTGTCAATCAAAGGCTTGTGTGCCAACCGCTACCTCGCCATGAAGGAGGACGGCCACCTACTGGCTTCCGTAAGTATCACTTTCTGGGTTTGTGCTTTTCTCCTTCATTGGCTCTTCCGCTGTTCATGTTCTGGTGTTGGTTTTTATTAAACATCAATGCAGGGTTTGCGAATAGTACACATATTTAATACCCATGCTCACCCCGTGACACGCAGAGCGCTATGGTCCCTGTGTCACCAAAACTGAGTCCTGAGAGAGTGACAAAGCAAACAGGGCAGCTCAGTCTCCATGAGGCGGCGCTCGGGCGGGACGCTGGGAAGCCTTGACCCTGAGCCTGACCACCAGCTCACTGTGGTTTACTGCGTTCTCCGCGAAGCTGTTAAACTACGGTTTTGCTTCATTGCTTTAAATCCTTGTATCGTGCAGTCGTTTGCGGATCAGTGGTTTCTTCTTGCAGACACACCACCCTCGCACTGTGGGACACTGCTCGAGAACGTGGCTCTGATCCCAGGAGCAAACACTGGGCCTGGGGCTGATTAACCGTGTGGTCTCGGGCACGTGATTCTGAGACAGTTCCCTCACTTGTACAATACAAACACTAATGATCTCATCTCATAGTTTTTGCAAAGACCAAATTAGACAATTTATACTGAGTGCCAAGATCAGGGTCTCATATATAACAGGTCCTGAATTGTTACCTCCCAGGGGATGGAGTTGAGGTGGCCAGGACCGGCAGAGACAGACAGGGTAAAGCAGGAGAGGATGAAGCCCGCCAACAGTGGGGCAGAGAGGCCAGTGCAGGGCGAGCCCCTGAGATGGGTCATATATTTAGGAGTATAGTGGGGGGAAAGCCAGAGTGGCTGCCAGGTTTCTGGTGTGCAGGAGAAGGTAGGTGAGAAAGGGCAAAGGGGACCAGAGCGAGTTCTGGGAAAAGGCTGTAGGGGTGCACGTGGAGACCTGTCTGGGCTGAGCTGCCAGCGAGAAGCTCGGGAGAGGATGCCCTGCGTAGCCGGCCGGCAGCCTAGGTCTGGGGCTCAGAGGAGACGTCCGCACTGACTCAAGGCTTTGGTGCCGCCAGCATCCAGTGATAGTTACGTCAGGGGAGTGGACGATGTTCTAGGTGAAAAATAGCTCTCCATGGTCGACTGCTTGGGACGTTCACTTCTTCCACTGTGCTTGTCTCTTTTTTCTACCAGTCTGTTGTCAACTCAAGGGGTGATGTCATACGCTGGGGCCCCACCAAAGTAGCATTTTAAATGTTTCCAGGACTGTGAATCAATGGGTAATTTTGGATGACCTTACCCTTGTAGGGAGAGGAAGAGGAGTTTGTCCCTGCTCCTCTCACCTCCGGATGTGACAAATCGCAGGTGGTGTGAGTCACGCTGGCTCCTGCGATGGTGTGGGCTTGGCGACTGTCCGACAGTGAAGGAGGTGGAAGGAGAGGGCGGCGCACACGCGGTCTTCTCATAACTCACGTGGATCCCCAGCCAGATGGCGTTCAAGGTCTAGTGTTCCCGGGCCTCTTATTCCAGCTCAGTGCGCGACTCGAGAGGGCTGCCCTGTGGTTTTCCACTTGTTGAGACAGAGAACCAGTGACCTGCTGATGGTGGCCACCCAGCAGCCACTGGCGGGGTGGGTTCTGTCGAGAACGCAATCTGGAGTGTAGGTACCTCTGTAGTCATCACAAGTGATGCAAACGGAAGATACGCTCCTTCCAAGAGCGTCTCTGACACTACCGGGGTCCTTAAAAGAGGAGATGCATTGCAGACAATGGGCCTGGGAACTTACAGACTTCTCTGCAAGTCAGGGTGCAGAGAATTCGGACCTCTTCTCTCGGCGAACAGGCGTCAGGCTTCCCCACCGTGGATTCTGTGCCATCAGAAGCAGCCAGGGCTCTAAAATAAATGTCCTTTGCTATGCAGGACCTTCTGCAAGGTTAAGGTCATGGCATTCAATTTCAACCGAAACGCATCTGTCTCCTTGGATGCGTGCTAAGTCTTCCCAACACAGCCGCTCTCCCTCGAGTCGATGCAGTAACAGTGGATTTGGCAATGCCCAGGAATTTATCACACACCCCCCGCAGGGGCAAAGCTACAGCTGTTCCATGCACATGGAAAACTCAGGGTTCTTCAGTGTGCTCTGAGAAGCAGCGTCAGCCGGTGGTTCCAGCGGCCCACACTGGACCACTGTTAACCTCTAACCCCACCGCTCCACTGGGTGGCTCGCTGCCATGCCTTTCCGGCAGCGATCCTGCCCCCTTCCTCTGGTCCGGGGGCTGTGGCAGTCTTCAATGAGAAAGTAGTCTCACCCACTGGGGTGCTGTTGGTGGCTCGGGAATGGGCACCTTTCTCTCGGAGTCTGGCCCAGAGGCATCGAGCCGGCACCGATAGAAACTGCTGGTGTCAGTCCATCACTAGGACCGGCAGCTATCATCTGGGGTGCAGAAGCCCCTTGTAACCTGAGGAGCGGCGGTGGTGAACTTGCCCTTGCCAGAAGCATGCTTCTTCCCACTCCATCCGTTTGCCTGGGCCCCTGCCAGGCCGCTGCTTTGGGCTTTGCATTTCCGCTTGTGTGGGATTGACATTCCTGACATTCCGGTTCCCCTCGGGAAGAGAGCACTGCACAGGCATAAACCATCCTGGTTTCTAAGTCACGTCAGAGAGGTGGCGGCCGGCCGAGAGCGTGATAAAAAGACTCAGCTGTACCCTTTTTTTCTCCACCACCTTCCTGCGTTAATGGTGTGACTGTGCCTGCAGGCTGAGGGTTCTCACCAAAAACACTTCTCAAGGGTCTCCTCCCCTCCCCCTGCCCCTCTGAAGCTAGAAAGTGCAAAAGCCGTCTTTGGAGGCAGACTCGGGGCAGTTCTCTGATACACAGCAGACTGCCGCGTCCGCTCCACAGCAGGGCAAATTCTGTTGCTATGAGCAACAGAAGTGCAGAACAAGTATTAGGATTTCTGATTTCTTAAGGGTTTACTGAATTTGTAGATTAAAAAAAAATTCCTATAATGAGTTCACTACAGTTTTAAGTTTAAATCACCAAACAACCACAATGTTAGCATTGAAATAAAAAATCTGCCGGACTTTATCTGCTAGAAAGTTCCGCATGGTTTTCTACAAAATGCCACAGACAGTGATAGCTGAGCAAAATATTTTAGTGAGGATTTGAGTGTGTGTGACCTGCTTTGACCCATAATAGTGAAATATGGAAAATTGTTTATATTTGAGGATACATAGTTCATTACTGTAAAGGTAAAACACTTTTTAAAACTATAGATTGACTTTCTTACTTAGGAGCCTTTACTATGAAACCCACACGCAAAGCAAAGTGGGGAAACCCGAGTTCGGAGGCTCAGTCATCCAGCCTGACAACATGTGCTGAACAAATTCGTCAGGAAAATGGGACAGTTAGAGAGGAATGCAGACCACTGTTAAGAGAGAAAATAGGATTGAGTGCAGAGATGATTGCCTAATAAGAATTATTGCTTCTTTTAGAAGCCAGTCTGATAAATGTTACATACATTTTACATATATACTTTTTTTACAGGATTAAGATCAGACTTCCTTTTAACTTTTCACAATCTGTGTGTTTGAGTTTGTTCTAGAACTGTCAGCATCGATGCTAACACCGTGTCTGTTTTTAATTCTCAGAAGTGGTGTAAGCAAAAGCATTTTTGGACTCATGTTGAGCAAACTCCCTCATAAGCCAAAACTGCAAAATCAAAGTACTGTAAAAGAATAAACAGTCCAAAAAACAGAGCATGGGGAATGGCTGTAAGGTTCAAATCTAATGTTTAGCAGCTGGCGGGGCTGTGAAGCCAACGGCACAGGGAGAGGAGGCGGAGGCGGAGGCCGAGGCCGAGGCCGAGGCTGAGGCTGAGGCGGAGGCAGGGAGCGTTGGGGGCTACCCAGCCCCCTGTGTCCAGGCCGCCTTCCTTGGAGGGAAGTCACTGTACGCAGTTCCCATGTAAGGGAAGTGGGTTCTGCTCCATCTCCTTGGGGGGGGTGTAATGTACATAAATTATTTGGGGTTCTCTCATGGGAGAAGTTAGTCTATGCTCCATTTAATTATTTGGTGATTTATATCAGTATATCCTCATGGACATTTATTTCATACTTGGGTTCTTCTACTGGGAAATGGTGTTAGGAACCAAGATCCGGATGCTGGGGTGCTTGTTGCTACTGAGGTGTGTTTCCTTCCGGGCCCTCGCCTGGCGGAGCACAGAACACAGGCATCTACCCACCTGAGGATGTATGCATGCCTGTAAATATATTAAGATAAACACGAGGCCCTACGGCTGTATCCAGCTCTAAGCCACTGGTCTCACTTGAATCACTTCAGCTGCCCCCTCTTGCTGGTCTGTAACCTCCAACAGTGAGAAACCTGGTCCCCCCATTTCCTTGGGTGAGTTTTCAGTACGTATTAATTCCTCACATCACTTCATTTTCTTTTTAAAATTTCAAAGTAAATTAAATATCTGGTCAAAAAAACAAGCCAGATGATTTAAAATGTTGATTACGCTTTTTTAAATTCTCTTGATTCTTCCCCACTCAGTTACCCCTACAAGGGGTCAGACTCGCAACACCACTTTTAAAATCAGCAGCTGTTCTTGCTGTCAGCCGACGGCCAGGGCCCCCACACAGGACGCTGGGCCGGACTGGGCCCTGCGAGACACCTTCAGGGAGGTCTCGAGGGCGCCCACACTACTGCGCAGCAGGTGTATGACATCCACGCTCCCTTCCTTGGTTAGAGTCCACGCCGTTTGGAGCTGAGGGTCACTGTGCCTGCACACACTTTCTCGCATCCCTTATTAACTAGCACTTTTCAGCGTGCAGTTCTATCGCTAGCAGCATGAGCAAGAGGGACAGAAGGTTAAGCGATGCGCCTGTTGCCAGGACGTGCTCACCACGTGCTCCTCATGTCCGTCAGGGCGCCTCCCGTCCATCTCAGCCTGGATGTGTGCGGCACTGAGCTCCTCCTCCTCCTCCTCCTGGATGAGTTCCCTCACGACTTCCCGTCTCGTTTGGTGAAATGTCATCATTCCAGAGCTCACACCTCGGTGCCGTCCTTGATTCCTCCGTTTCTCTCACACCACATCTCCAATCTGCCGTATAAAACCCACTCTATTCAAAGTACATCCAGACGCAGACAGCTTTGACCATCTGAGTCCCCACTCTGCTGCCCGTCATACCGGGCCTGCCCTTAACTGGTTTCCCTGCATCTGCCCTTGCCCCCGTGTGGCCTGGGAAAACGTCAGGTCATGCCCTGTTGCTGTTCCCAAGTCCACAGTGGTTCCCCTTGCTCAGGGTGTTTACCATGGCTCTTGAATGTTCTGTGTCGCTCCCTGACCGCGTGTCTGACCCCTCCCCCGTCGGCCTTCAGCTGCAAGCGCCCTGGCCTCCTTGCCGCCCCTTGCGCTGAAGGCCTGATCCTGCTCTGGGGGCGTCGGCACTGGCTGTCCCCTCTCTGCTCCAGGACCCTGCTCTCCTAGGTGGATGTTAACGCCTTCACCTCTGAGTATTTGCTCAAACGTCACTTTCTCAGGGCAGCCTCCGCGGACTGCACAGTTGAGAACTGCAACCCTGTCCCCATCCCAACCCCTCTCACTGTTCCCCTTTCCACGGGATTGCCTCCGTTTCGGCGTGCAAGTCACTCAGTCTCGCACCTGGCGCGGCCCCACCTGCTGGAACCGGGGGTGCGGAGACACGCTCCGCATTCGGTGTTGTCCACAGACCAGTCCCAGTGCCTGGGAGACAGACACACACGACCAACGAGTATGTGTATCGTTTGAACCGTGTGCTTTCTATAGTTTACAATTATTTTTCAATTAAAACAAGCCAAACTAGAGGGAAATTCAGTTTGATGAAAAGGTGTGAGATAGATATGTGCGCAAACGATGCCGCAATCTGAAATAAGTAAGGGTGGCAGGCTTTAGATTCCTCGTTTGTTAACAAATTCAGGATAAGGATGCTGCAGGATCCTTGTGATATTGACAGAAACTGATGTGCCGGGGGGGCCACCAGCAGCTGTGAATGAAGGGGTTTCCCAGCTCCCGAGCTGCACAGAATGAACCCAGAGTGGGGTGCACTTTGTCACAGGCCTGGGAAGTTGCTCATCCGCTTCCACTGTGACGTCAGTCCCCCAAAGACCCCCTTTTCCCTGAAGTTTGCAGCGGTGGGCTGTGAAACATTGGGGAGCGGAAAACTCCATGACCGTGTTTGTGCAGGTTGACGGGACTTCTGTCACATCAGTTTGTAACAGAAACATTGAGCTCGCAGCCACGGAACACGGTCTGTGAACTGAGAAGGGAGAAGGTTGAACTTGGACTTACATGGCGCTGTCAAACGCCTGCTTTTCTTGACAGCTGAGTTTTGCCCTGCAACCCATTTGAAAAAAAAATACAGCAGTTTGTTGTCAAGTGCATAGCGAGCAGTTGTTTAGTAAACCTACGGGTCTGGATGTTGGGCACAGAAGCGAGCCTTCCTCCCGTCCACACTGCTTTGGTACAGGCACAGTAACCTCTGTGAGAACAGCCTGTGGGTTCCATGACGCAGTGTCCCCTGAATCCCTGGGACTGTGTCTTTTCTCTGAAATCGTAGGGACTGGCAGAGAAGGCAAGTGTACTGGCTGGCACATTCCCACAGGCCAAGCACTGTCAGGGCGCCAGCTGGCAGGGTGGGGCACCCCGCACACCCAAAATGAGCCTGCCGGTGCCCCGAGGCCCGGGGGCCGTGGGTGGGGTGTGCCTCTGGGGAGCCAGCCTGTCGCTGGGTGCTGCCTGGCATGTTAACTGCATGCCCACCACGGCCTTTCCTGTCACTCTTCCTTCCGCCACCGCCACTCCTGGTCTCAAAGCTAGAACAGGCGAAGGGGAAGATCTTCATCAGTGGTGCCGACAACCGGCAGAGGACCACAGGCTGACCACAGTCAGCACAGCAGCGTGGTCCTTTTCTCCAAGGGCGCACCGAAAAGCGTGGCACATTGACATCACCCCAGCGTTCCCAGGTGTCCACACCTGGGTCTTCACGGCGACACAGGAGGGCCCTGGGCACCCGGAGCTGGTCCTCTGCAAGGCTGCCCAGGTTTTATTTGCATCAGAAACACTCGAATCACTTCACTAATTTGTTACCCCCCAAAATGAACAAGTTAGATGAGTTTGTATTTCAATTTTTAAAGGCTGAATTAACAATGATGGTCAAAACTTACAGCCGAGTAAACATCCAGTCGCGTTCCCAGCCCTGGAAGCCGAGCCCACCACCCGGGACCACGCCCTCGCTCCAGCCGCCCGGGACAGAGTTCACTGGTCTCTCTCCGAACCTTTTCCTGTCGGTATTACACCAGCTATTCTCATTGTTTTGCTTATTGATTTATATTTCTTTTTTGACAGTTTGTGCCCTTGCCTAGTTTTTCCTGGAATCAGAGTCTGGGAAAAGATTCAAGTCTTTTGAGTGTGGGTTTTGCCCAGTCCTGAGGTGCCCTAGGCTTGAGTGTATAGACCAGGGCGGCAGTCTGGTGTACTCCACGCAAAACCACAGGCGTGTGTTCATGTGGGATTTGTATGTGGACACATAACTACCTGTAGAATTATATGGCTTTCTGTATGAGTTTATCCATCCATCTATAACTGTAATATAGGAATGGTCTTGTCCTTTCTCCCCTTAAAAGTGACTCAGCCATTTGTCGACCCGCCCACCCCAAGAGGTCAGTACCTATCATCAGTGCTGTTCTGTAAAGTTGATTTTTGAACTTTTACCTGAAATAATGTGGCAGCCTGTTAGCCTTGAGTACTTGGAATAGTATTTCCAGATCAAACTATTTGTTGAGCTAGCTGCTCTCTGTCCTTAATAGTTGGATTGCGGTCAAAAGGCAGGAACCGCCAGGAACCAGTATGTTCCTCATTATTTCCTAGTGTTTGGAGAAGGCTAATCATATATACTTTCCAGTACAATTTGGGGACATTACATGTATTCGCTATTTTCTGTACAATAAACTATTCTTTTATGCCCTGGAAACAATATTAGCTACTAGAAAAAAAGTATTATAACTTGAGGAACTAACTCTGTTTCTGTGAGTAAAGTATTAACAAAACCCTCTCGTTGTGAGAAAGTTTCCTGTCTGACGCGGTTTCACGGGGACCCTGATAAAGTCGGCGTGGCCCAGTTGGTACCCTGGCCCTGGAGTGGGGACACGTACGGCTTAGATACCCAGTGGGGGCTGCACCCCGGGTCTCCCCACAGGTGGCCTGGTTCTTGGAACTGGCCACGCCCTCTTGGTGGGGAGCCCTGGAAACCATGTCCCTGGGGTATTTCAAACCTGAGCCAGCAAGTGTGGCACCTATACCTTCTGTGTGTCTCGCCGACTGCGGAAGTGGTCCTTGGCCATGTCCCTCCAAGAGGTAAGCTGGGAGCTGTCCTGCCTCCCCCCTGCAGCCAGACTGTGTCGGAGTCTGTCCGTCCTGCCGAGCCCAGCAGCACCGCTGCCGGTGTGCAGGATGGGCCACGAGTGGTCCACGAGTGGTCACCGGTAGTTGATGTGAAAAGTATGATCATCTCAACGGCACTGACGGCTCCGCCTCTTCCTGTATCTTTTCAGAAATGTGTTACGGACGAGTGTTTCTTCTTTGAACGGTTGGAGTCCAATAACTACAACACTTACCGGTCGAGGAAGTACTCCAGCTGGTACGTGGCGCTGAAGCGGACTGGGCAGTACAAACTCGGCCCCAAAACGGGGCCCGGGCAGAAAGCCATACTCTTCCTCCCGATGTCCGCTAAGAGCTGATCCCCACGCCGCCGTCTGACCTCCCTTCCCACGAGAGAAGAGGTACTTCGCAGGGGCTCGTTAATGAGAGAGGAGGAAGATGTGTACAGCTGCCGGCTCAGTTTGGGTAACTGGCCGGATAACCTTTCATCCAATAGTCGAATATTTAACCGCTGCCTTAGTAAAGAAAACAAGAACACCTGGGAAATGTATGGACCTCCACCTTTTATATAGCACTTGCCTTTATCCAGTGAAGCTTACTTAGAGCTACAGTCTTTTCCATACACGTGGTTCATCTGAAAAGAGGATTTTAAAATGTGCACACTTACAAGTTCCTTCATGGAAACCATCCCCACAAGAACACACAAGGCTGACACTCAGCCCCCGGGTCCACTTGCGGTGGGACGTGGCACCCGTCCCTGTCCATGTGCCACTTCCCGGGCGTACACGCGCCTGGGCGCTCACTCCACTCCTGTCAGGGCTTTGTAACTGCCCGGCAGTTCCCGGTGGTAGAGTTTGTAGGGCAAGCCCGTGTGCGCAGCCGGGAACGTGTCCGGGGTCAGGTCCACCTTGTCGAAGCCCTCCCGGCGCCCGTACAGCAGCAGCCGTGCGGCCCTGCGGGTGATGGGCGTGGCGTGGGCGCTGGCGGCCAGGGCGGCCAGGTCCATCCACTCGCCCCGCAGGCACTCGTGCGGGCACAGCTGGATGGCGAAGGAGCGCGGCTGCAGGCGGCAGACGAGGTACATGTCCGACTTCCCGAAGGCCCCCGGACGGTTGTGCTGCTGCCGGAGGCCCAGGAGGGACCGGAATTCCGACCGCACACCCGTCTCTTCAAAAACTTCCCGAACTGCTGTGTCTCCTACGTGGGAGAGAGGTGTGCACATCAGTAACGACCCCACTTTTAGAAAACCCTCAACAAGGATTTCCAGTTAAAGCAGCGTTAACAAAGGCTCCAAAGCAAGACTTCAAGAAAGTGAGGTTTTTGATAAAAACCGCCTTCTGGGCACCCTGATGTACCAAAGTACTTCCTCAGCACTGCGCACTAAACAGCTCCTGAAATAGTGACTGTTTCTTTGGCTGCCACCTGGGGGGCTTGTCACCTGTATGGCTTTGGGGTCCTATGTCTTTAACCTCTTCCTGCTCTATTTCCCAAAAGGTGAAAACAGGTTGCGAAGCTGTGGCGACTATTCCTACACGTGTCTCTGTTCTCCTCTGTCCTGGCCATCCGCCAGCACCGCCCAGGTCTGCGCGTGTCGGGTTCGAGGAGAAGCGGCCCACTCTTGTAGAAGGCCGGGCAGCCGGGCGTGGCGACCTGTGAAGTGACTCTCACCGCTCCCGGTGATCTGGGTGGGGGTGGGGGATGTCAGGCGTCTGACTCACGGAGAAGACGCCTTTGAGGTCTTTTTGTCCTGCTCGCTTCGTCGGGCAGCCTGTGGAAGTCCACCCTGGGACACGGGGCGGGCTCGCTGTTTCCTGAGATTCATTCCTCCATCACCCACACTCCGCAGTCTCTTCATGCGGAATTTTATAATACGACAGGGTTTTCATTTTCTAGTGGTGATTTTTTTTTTGATAATATGTAAACTTCTGGGATGGGATTTTTATCACCACTCACACATTCCGATGGCTGCTTTTGGGGACTGTGCAGATGAACCCCCTGAGTGGGCTCTCTCATTCTGTGCTGCTGCCGGTCTCTCCCCCAGCGCCGACTCGCGCCCCTAAAACAGCCGCCTTCCTCACCCAGGGCCCTGGGAGCAGCCTCGTCGCGTAAGTTTATGTTCAGTGCTCGCCGCTTCTTGCTTGTTGAGTAGGAGAACCTATTTGCCTTCTCGGTAGTCTCAGTGCTCTTCTGGTGAAGAGTAGGTGAGGAAGAGGAAGGCAAGGGACGGCCTCCCTTCCCTGTGCCCTGCCCTGGACGTCGCCCAGGGCCCTTGACGTGCCCAGACCGAGCCCCGAGCCCCCGCCCGACCCCGGGAAGCAGCGCTGGAAGCACCCGTAGGGGGTGGTGCTCAGGAGTGTAACGCTGTTCGTCTGCTGTTTTCAGCTTCAGGCTGATTGACTTCCTTACAGTTGAGATTTCCCATAGATGACACATGGCTAGAAATTATATATTTTAAACCAAAAACAAAAGAGTTATGTTAAAAATAAAAATATATATTTCATTAAAAAAATCTTTCATAAAAGAGTTTGTTTAAAAAAGCACAGCTTTCCTTAATAAGAAAACTAACTTTCAGTCCACACAGAATACATTACCTGTTAGGAAATCTGTTACAGGTCCTGGCACTGGCCTTAAATTTTATGTCCTTTGCCAATCTCCCTTTACTGTTGTTTCAGGGTCAATTCTTTCACACTTCGGGGTGTAAACATGGGGGTCCCCTCAGTCACCAGCAGCACTCACCAGGAGTCTGGCCTTGCTTCCCTCTCCAGCCCGTCACGGAGTGCAGGTTGGGGCTGATCCAGGAGTCCGCCCTGCTCGGTCCCCAGAGCAGTGGGCCCAGGTGGCGCTGCCCACAGTCTGGTCTGTGTCCCTCGTGCCAGCGGGGCAGCAGCAAGACTGAAAAGTGATGGGGAGCCAGCGCCTCTGTGTCTGGGGGTGAGTGCGCCCTTCCACCTCAGGGCGACATCTGCTCCCCAAAGATTTGTCCCTGCATTTGAACTGTTTATCGGGCTCAAGTGCTTTCCTCTGTTGTGCCTTCGTTATTCTAATGTACTGTGAGCTGAACTGAAATAACATCTACTGTGTCATAGGATTTGAAGAACGTAGGAAAAACCGAGAGGGTCATGTTTTTATTTTTGCTAATTGAGAGAGATGTTTAAATATATCACAGCATTTTGTTTAGTACAGGACAATAATGAAATGGAATTTATATTTGTCATTTCTGTTTTGTGATAGTAAATGATAGCCCAGGTCGAAATCAAACAAAATAATAGGAAAAACTGCAGACTGTGGGCTTTCCTGGTGTCTCCCTCAGACTCTGGTCACTGATGGACTGCGACCGCCCCTGGTCCCGGGCCAGGCGGGGGGTGGTCCCGGCAGGAGTTATAACCTGGGAAGGCAGCTGCCCCTCCCGTTCTAACCTTGCCGGTACCTCTGTGCTCCCAGGCGGTGTCCCAGGGCCTGAGGACTGCACCCCACTTTGTATATGCGCCTCTCCATTCCGTTCAGACAGGACAGACAGACAGACAGACAGGGGTGCCTCATTCGCTGAGCGCGACTGTGCCACAGACGGGCCCGATGGGCGAGTTTCCTACGTCTGAGCCAGTGTGAACGTCTGCACGTCAGCGGGGGCCGTACTCCCGGAGTGTGTGCTGTTCCTGAGCGCGGTTCGAAGGGAAGGAGCAATCCTCGGGCGATCTGGCTTCATCGGGAAGGATGTCTGCTACTGTGTCACATCACGGACAGGCCCCGCAGAGACATGTCGTGCAGGCCTCTGCTGTCACTCACCGTTTCCTGCTGCTTTCGGGGACTTGTCGTCGTCCTCAGGCAAAGCCTTAATCGACCCTTCACTGAAGAACAGGGGGGAGTGCCACCAGCTGCCGCCTCCTGATTGCACGTGTGTACCGTGTATCGTGGTCTCTGGGTGGGCGGGCTGCTGTGACAACCACAGACACTTCACAAAAGCAGTGGCTTCTGAACCAGTCAGATGCAGGCGGTTCTGGTGTGCACCCCACCCATCCACGTGGCCTGGCGCTGTGTCTGCCGAGGGGGACGCTGCAGGGACGTCCTGCGGACAGGGTGCCCCTGCCCAGTGTGGGCGAGCGAGGGGTGGACAGAGACTTGCCCGGTCCACTCGCCCTCCTGTGCCACACAAGGCAGCGGAAGGCAGTCGGGGGTCCAAGAATAAATGGCTGTCCCTCCCAGCGCCCCGCCCACAGCCAAGTGCGCTTCCATTTCCCCAGAAGACCCAGCAGAACCTGGGTCAGCACTTTCTAAAATCCAGAATTTGCTATGGATTTCTCTGAATGTAGTCAATTTACTTAGTGGTTGTTAGGAGCTGGCTATATACCGTGTGTGGGGCATTTTAATCTGTGTTACATTTTTTGTTTAAATCAAGCTTTGTTTTTAAATAAAATATCTAAAGATAACTTAGGAAACTGCCCACATGAATGTGGGCTGAAGCGAATGGGGGCATGCGCGTTGAGGAGGAAGTCGGGGAGAAGCAACCCGGTGCCCGATGAGTCGTCTTTCGATCCACTGGGACGGGCTGCACTTGGCCAGTGGTGGAGGGGACAGGCAGGAAAGCTCGGATTCTGTTCTTTCATCCACTGCTGTAAGATCAGACACTGAGACTCTTAGCTCACTCCAAATCTCCCTGTCCTCAGTGTTGATCTCAGTGAGTTGTGAGGAGTTACTCTCTCATTCCATATGTTCTTTGAGACATTTCACTGTTTTGGCTTCCTGACTATTCAAAATACATAGATAAGTTTTTCACAAAGAGAATTACCGTGGCTCCGTAACTGACTTTATAAATAACACCTATTTCCAAGTTCATTTAAAAATTACCATTCATCCTTATGCGGTGAAACGGTCAAACAATTGTATTTTCTCAGTTTAATTCCAACATTGTAGTCACAGCCAAAATCGCCCCGACACTAAACCTTCCTGACGCACATCCGAAGCCACTCATTCTCAAACAGATCTCGCCAGAAGCCGTCCTGAGGGGGGACAGCAGCGTCCTGTGCCCCGCTGGCATTTCTATGCCAACCGAACGGGTTCTCGTGCTACCAGTTTTGCTGCTACTTTCCCGTCAGCCCTGAAGTCACCTCTCGTTTGAACCAGTTGGGAAATTTAAAGTCTTATTCTTCACTACAGAGCAAGAAAGTAAACACATGAACCTCCTCCACATTTTCAAGCCACCCGACCACACGTGGGTACGCACCGAGGTCCTCTCCAGGCTCCGACAGGCCTCCTGGCAACTTCCACATGTTTTTCGACTGCGGTACAAAGTCAGAAAATGATGTTAACCCAGCATTTGCTCACTCACTCTCACACACACACATGCGCATGGAGATTCACAGTATTCACCCATCATTGGTCAAGGTTACTTTTTTTTCCTAATTGCATGTAAATTTTTCCAGTTTCCTTCCTCTTCCTTTTTTTTGTGGGAAACTGGTAACTTAGGAATTCTTTTCCAACTGTTTACTTTGGGAAATAGAAGTGGTTTTATTTGGTTAATGTGATGAATTCAACAGTGGAGGGAGACATCTACTGAATTTGTGTAATTTTAAAAGTTTTGCTGCTAGTTAACTATTAACAAATAGAAGAATCTTACAGATGCTGCTATAAATAAGTAGAAAAATACAGTATAAATTTAATCACTGAAGTATATATGCTATTTTAACTTCACATTTATTTCTGTATTGTGTGTCTAATCAGATATACTGTTAATCCCAAGGTCTCTTGCTTTGTGTTAATGATTTCATGGGTGGTATGAATAAAAATGACTAGTTTAAGTTTGTGAGGTTTTCGTATTCTCCTTTTTTGGAGGGGATAGGGAATGGGCAATGGGAAGATCTGAACTTGGAAGGGGGATAAACTGGGGGGAGACTGATTTTACGGCTTGGTGGGTTGAGCACCGGACTGTGAACCAGAAGGTCACTGGTTCGATTCCTGGTCTGGGCACATGCCTAGATTGAGAGGCCAGGTCCCTGGTTGAGGGGTGTGCGAGGCAACTGATTGATATTTTTCTCTCCTTCTCTTCCTCCCTCCCTTCCCATCTCTCTAAAAACAAACAAACAAACAAATGAAATCTTTAGAAGAGTAATTAACAGCCACGAAATGGCACGATGGGGCGCGATCCTTCTGGCCGAGGGGACAACTGTCTCCCGCTGGCGGCTGTCCCACCTCCTACTGTCACTGGGATGGAAGCTGAAGGAGGGACCTGGACAGACTCCTCCGGGCGCTGCAGCTCGGAGCCAGGGCACCTCATTCCCTTCATTCCTCAGTCCTTCGCGGACTGTGGCTGGGGCACTTTGTGGCCCCTCATTTCCTGGACGGGAGCTTCTTAAAGACTGTGTCACTTCCCAGTGCTGCCAGGCCGGAGGCCGGTGGCGCGACTCCCAGAGCTGGCCCAGACGGGCGGTTGCGTGGGCACTGAACTCGGGCTGCCCGCCCTCCTGTGTCTGGCCGGGACCTGAGGTTCTTTGCACCGCAGGGCACAGTTTATGTTGTGAATGCAGGCGTCTCTGAGCACAGCCCCGCTCAGGCGCAGTCTTTGGGGCTCCCCTCCAGTCCTTCAGTGGCCGTGTTCCCTCGGGAACGACGCAGTCCTCTGTCCAGCAGGATGGTGGGCTTCACACCATAAAGTCTGTTTCTAACGAAAGGTTCAAATGCTTCCCAAAACAATAAAAGTCCACTTTTAATCTTTCCCCAAACTTCATGATGAATAATTGGAGATTAACTGTTGACTAAATTTGGAGATACAAACTTGCCAGAGGGGGAACATGCCAGATATAAGGACTGAAAACAGCTCACGTAAGTTTGATTTTCATTATTTCATAAACCTTAGCTATGGAAGAATTAAGTATATTTTCATGCTGGTGAGTAGTTTGTGACATCTTCTGGCACAATTTAGCTTTAAAGAGCTTGTTTTGAGACAACTTCCCCTTCCCCTCAAAGCTCTAGCCTGCAGTCTGTCTAAGGGACAGGGTCCTGACCTGGGCGGCTTCAAAGCCGGTTGATGCGGGTCTGATCAGCAGAGAGATGAGCAGGTCTTCTTTTTCAATATTGGAGACTACTCCCCATTAACTGGATTTACCAACATCATAATGAATACGAGCTAGTGTGTACTGAATGTCCACTGGATTTGAGACATTGCTAGATGTTTCTATATGAATTACATATATTTAGCCCTGGCTGGGTAGCTCAGTTGGTTAGAGCATCACCCAAATATGCCATAGTTGAGAGTTTGATCCCTGGTCTGGGCTAGACTGAAATCTCTCTCAAGTCAATAAAAAAAATTAAGTAAAAAAAGAATTACATTTAAACTTGACAGTAACCTGTTTTGGAATTGATGAAACTGAGGGCATAAAATAATTTGGTAGCTCGCTTGAGGTGACCCAGCTTGGGGGGTAGTAAAATCCAGGCTGTCTGATTCTGTCCATCTTTTAAGCCATTTTAAAAATTAATTGGCTATTTTCTCATTAATCCTTAATACTATTGGGTGCTTTTCCATAACCTTTTGCTCTTTCCTCCAGCCTTCCCTGGAACATTCTATGTAACCACACCAGAATTGTGTTGAGACTTCTGCCCTTCCAGGGCTTGTGAATTTGACCTGAACTCTGGTTCAGTGTCAAAACATGTTTGTGTCTGCCTTTTGTTTGTGAGTGCTCCTTCCAGAATCTTCTGATTGCCATGAGATTTAATACTGTTAGTGGTTCGCTACTGTCATTCCAGTACCTTGTTCCAGGAGGGAAGAATTACTGAGGAAGGAGAAAGGGTGGGTTTTGATTAAAGCCTATTTGGGTTTATTATCTGTTTCATCTTTGTCCTCTGTTCCTGTATTTTAAAAAAAGACAAAACATCTCTATGCTTTACATGTAAAATCCCATGGTCCTTCCCCGCCCCGCCAATCTCCCAGAAGGAACTTTCCACTCACTTTAACAGGAATGTTCTTCTCCCCCGGCTCCTGCTCGGGGGGCACCGTGCAGCCTCCGCTCCCGGGACCCTCCCAGCTTCGAGCTGCAGAGTCGAGTTCCTGAGGCGTGGCTGACGCTCACGCACTACAAAAGGTCAGGAGTCCTTTTCACTGACAAAAATGCGTGGCTCTATTTTGGAATGGTGAATGCGAGAACAATTTTTTCCTGTATATTTGCCGGTGATAAACCTGACGTTCCTGCAGGGGGTGTGTAAGTATGTGTTCGGTGGAGGGGTGGGCATGGATGAAAAGGAGAAGACAGCAGACACCGTAAGGGTGGTCCCCTCTCTCACTAGGAGACCCTGCCATCCTCCGAGGAAGGAATTGCCAGCCCAATAGGCATTTTGGATCTCAACAAAGGAGATTACTTCTAAGGCATTTTTCAGAAATACTGACAGAATGCGAGATATTTTCTCCTTTAAAACAATGTTAATTTAATAGCACTGTTTCTTTTAAAGCTTGTCCTGCAGATCAATTTCAGTTCAATGAGAGTTTCCAGAATGGGCGAATAGGAAGGATTTATTTTCTGACCCTTTTTCCCGTGATTTTTCCCAACTCACAGACATCTTCTGTTCCCCAAGCAGACGATGACCTTCAGGACTCTCCCTGGGCGTGGCCGCTGCGACCCCAAGGTGTGGCTTGTGCCAACAGACACCCCAGGACGGCTCGCTTCTTCCAGCCCCACCTCTCAGAACCAGAGTACGCCCTGCCAGCCTCTTCCTTCGGGTTCTCGCCTATCGTTTGGCCTTCATGTTCTTCCTTCACTCCAACTGGTCAGGTGACAGAAATCGATTACCTTCCACTTCCAGTTTTAATGCTGCTCCTCTCACTTTCCAGAGTTCAGAGTCACTGTATTTAGATGGTACATTGGCTACAATATTATTATGTCCAAGCACTCCTCAAACCCATCCGTGCCCTCGAGTCCCCGGAAGGCCTGTGGACGTGGACTGCTGAGCAGCACCCATTTCTGAGGCAGCTGGTCTGGGTGGCACCTGGGGACATGCTTTCCCACTGAGTCGATGCCACGGCTCTTTCAGCTCCACACCTGCCCTCTGTGCTGTGTGCTCCCCTAGTGATGCTAGAGCTGGGACCCTGCTAACCGATTTCCGTTTTGCCAGGAGACCCCCTTTAGACTCCACCAACAGACTCCAAGGTGGGAGGAGGAAGAAGGAACGTCTCGAGGGCCAGGCACGAAGTACTTGACCTACTCAACACAGCTCTGTCGGTAAAGCTTAGTCTGAGTCGGAGACCCTGCCCAACTAACACTGCGACTTCCGACCATCGGGTGCGTGTTGGCAGCACTTCTGAGAAACGTGTGGACTGCTGTCAGCTCTCACCGCCAGCAGTCGTTCAAAACTCCAAAACACCCAGGACGGGGAATGTCTGACTCCGTCCTCCGACATTTACCGAGGTCTCGGGAAGAATCAGAGTGATTATTCCCTTTTGCTTTTAGATGCACGAGTGAGGATGAAAACGTTTGATCTCTGGTCAAGGTACTTCTCTGAAAGACCACGTTGCTGCTGGCTGTCTGCACCCCTTGTGGGTGTGCAGGGCACTCACGCCCCGCTCCCTGTCCAGCTCTTGGGCCGCGTGTTTCACCATCGGCCGCACTCCTGGCCACAACGAGTTCTTGCCATTCTTTCCACACTGTGGGCAATGGACTATTTCTGCCCGCCCGGCCCCACCGAGTTCAGGTTGAGTCCTAATTCCCAGTACAGAAGTGGCACTGTAAGTGGATCTCTGACAGGCGACTGTGTCCTAAGAGTGGAACCCTTGGGACTTGGAGAAGTGCTCTTATAAAAGAGATCCCAGGATTCTGCCAGGGCAGGACACGGTGAAAAGACAAACATCTATGAACCGAGAAGTGGGACCTCACCAGACACCGATTCTGCTGGCTGGCGCCTTGACCTTGGCCTCCCAACATCCACAACTGTGAGGAGTAACATTTGCTGTCCAAGCCTGCAGCCTGCAGAATTTCTATCGTGGCCTGAATGGACTAACACTCCATGTCTGCTCCTTTCCCAACTCTGTGACCTTACACACTCCTTTCTAATTTCCTTTCTGGTTTCCTACCCTTTTTTGTCCTAGTAAGCTCTTATTCATTCCTTAACACCCAATTTAAAAGTCACCTCTTCTGAGAATTCTTGTGGGGCTGCGTAAAGGCAAAGTAAATTGTATCCATGCGTAGTGTGACGGCTTTCCCAAGCAGAGGGCAAGGCGCAGGACACAAAGGACACTGTCTCATTAACCGCTGTATTCTTGGCACCTGGCTCTGAGCAGGAGCTCAGCGAATGTTGGGCGGATGGAAGAATATCTTGGCAGTGAGTTAGACATGAGTTGTCTTCCCAGCCAGACACAGCCAGCTATAGTTTTCCTGTAGCCATAACCTGATAGTGAGGGGACTCTGACATTTGCAAGGCCTACACAGGCATTTTGGGGACTAAATAGCCAAATGACCCATAACTACTCAGAGATAACTTTTAAAATAACTTTGTGTCATTTCCTGAGCATATAAGAATTTCTACATTTTCTTTTGCTCTAGAGAGAACTGAACATTTACAAAATCAATTTATAAATAGAAGCAACTTACTTTATTTCGATCTTGGACAACCAGTATTTTTCCAGTATTTTCATCAAACACAGCTCCTGTTGGAGGGAAAAATAACAGATACGGAGAAATGGTAATTTCATTCATCCCAGACTCCTCCCAAACTCTAATATGTGGTCATTAAAACCCCACCCATCCTGGAAGGTCTAGTTCAAAACCATCTCTTCCGCAAAGACGTCAACTCTCTCCAACAAGCAGCTGGTTGCTTGATTACCTAACGGCCCAGGGCTGTCCAACCTTTTGGTGTGTCTGGGCCACACTGGAAGAAGAGTTGTCTTGGACCACACCTTAAATACACAGACACTAACGAAAACTGATGAGCAAAAAAAAAAGTTTTTAGGTAAATTAATGATTTTGTGTTGGGCTGCAGGCTGGACGCCCCCGCCAGGTTCCTTGAACCAACGATGGTCGCAGCATGCACTGCCTTGTAGGACGGCCACCTGCAGAGCTTGTCTAGGTCACCTGTCCCTGAGGACACACAGTTGAATAAACTCATCTTTCCACGCTCGGGTAGCATGCACTTGAGTGGCAAGGCCATTTCAAATGCTTAAAGGTATTTAGTGAATCAGTGCATTGGGTTTTCCACTCTCATGCTTATCCCCCAGATCACTGTGGGGGGGGACACAGGCTGTGCCCCCTGGTGACTCGCATCTCACGCACGTCAGTGTTCGGATCATGGCCTCCCTGAAGCCACCTAAGCTGGTTCACCACTTTGTACCCGGCTTTAGAACGTACCAGCATCCTGCTTTGCAACACTTGTCTATTTTATTTCTGTTTTCAGTCCTTTCCTTTTATTCATTCATTCTTTGTAGGCACTGCCCAGTGTGCTAAGTACTCGGCTAGATGTTCGGACCCTGCTTCTATTTGGGCAGTCCTGAGTCTTACATGTCACTATAATGATTGGTATTATGTTCCTTTAAATGCTATAACTTAAAAATTCGTGTTTACATAATGTAAGAAGAGACTGTTAAAGAGGTATTTCTTCACGTCCACTCATTCTTTCAATATTAATTGGTTTATCTCTATAACACGTGTAGGCTGTCTATGTAGCACATGAATTGAGCTCCTGTTTTTGTCAGGCCCTTTTCTGGGTGACAGGGACTCAGTGGAGAACAAAACAAAATCCCCCATGCCCACGGGTGCTCAGCTGTGTCTGTGTGTGCGTCCGAGAGGCAATGGCAAATGAAACACTTATGCAGAACACGAGAAGGCAGTAAATGCCACCTGGAGACACAGTGTAGAGGGGGCAGGCGTGTGTAACACAAGGAACAGTAACTTTCTCTGAAAGGAAAACATGCTTTAGTATTTTTAAGCAAGAAGGAAAACCACTAAGTGAGATATAACTAACACTAATGCCAGCTTCTATTAGAAAACATACAGTCTAATTTAATTGGACTTTATGAAGGGTAGAATGCCAAAGAAACCTCTTAAATTTTAATAATGGGTCATTACTCAAATGGAACTTTTCCCTAATGAGTTCACTGTAAAAGGAGCAAAATATCCCCAAGACAAGCCCAGCAGTGCCCAAAGCACAATATGGGCGACCCCTGCTGGTCACAATGTAAAAGTTAAATCGAGCGAGATCAGACACGGTTAAACAGAGGTCATTAGCACGCCAGCCTCAGCCAGGCACTGCGCTAAGTGCTTTAGGTGCATCACCCCAGTGACTGCGGCGTCATTTTGACTGCCTGCGCCTGCACAGCTCTGAGACCCGCATCCCGTGGGCCCGGTTCCGTCTGGCGGGCCTCGCCATGGCGGCACAGGCCTGTCCCCACGCCACAGCCACGTTCTCCCAGGGTGGCCACTCCCACTGAAGACCTACAACCATTCATTCTGGAAACACTCACAGAGCCCTGACTGTGTGCCAGGCGCTGTCTTTCACCTGAGCGCACAGCGGTGGACAGGAGATAAGGTACCTGCCTTCACGGACTTTATGGAGTTGCGGGGAAATCAAGTATGTGAACTCAGATAATTTCGGATTGGGATATGTGCTATAAAGGAAAACAACTGGATAAAGGGACAAAGGATAATGGAACTGACATGTGAGAAGACAAGGTGAGGAGCTCTTTGAGCAGAAACCTCAGCTCTAAAGAGTGAGTTAAACAAAGCCCGGGAAGAACAGGCAGGGTCCCAGGAAGAGGAGCTGGCAGGGTTAAAGGCTCCGAGGCAGACCTCAGGAAGTGGGGGGGGGTTCTGCACTGGCCACGTAGCTTCTGGGTCTGGGGCCTGTGAGTTGAATTGAATCTGTCTCCTAGGAGACAGATTAGTGGAGAAAAAAATATAAATTTTATTTGATGTTAATATTTTTATATGGCCTGGGGTGGAGGTGGAGGGCTTCATAGAAAGAAGATCCCAGGAAAGCAGTCAGATCATTTTAACAAAGAGCAGTGAATTGCAGGGACGTGAGAAGACAAAGGGTTCGGACCAGGGGAGGTAAACGGTGGGAAGTGGCCAGGGAGTGTGTGGGGGAAACTCGGGGGGAACCAAGGGAATGCAGGGGTCGTGTCAGTGAGTCTACACAGACTCCTCTCGTCACCCCTGTCTCCAGTGATAAGAACCCCCTTCTCTTCCTGGCACAAGAGATTCATGGTCAACTTTTAGGTAGAATGGGGTACGCAGGGAGCCCTTCCTGTGTTGCCGTTTCTCCACTGTCCTCACTCGAAATCATCACTATGCCAAAGTGGCAGATTCTGGGCCCCTCCACCGGCCACACCTGCCTTCTGTTGCTTGTAGCAACAGATGTCAACTGTTTTCCCCTCACCTGAAAAACTACCTTTCCAGAAATCATTCTTACACTGTCTCGTCCCCACCCCCAACAGCCACTTCAAATCCTCCTCCTTCAAGACTTGTCAAGTTCCAGAACTCCCATTCCCTGAACTCCTACGGTCCACCTTGACTCTAATACAGGACGTGGTACTTAGAAGAAAGTCCTTTGCAGGACTCGTTCTGCGCACAGTGCCAATTCTGCATTCACGACGGCAAACCCCGAGTCTCTGCCGATGACTGGACAATCACCTGCATGATCTTCTCATGCAGTGGGAGGCTGTCACCAAATTTTCCACGTAGTCTCATAAAGGGGAGCTGACTGGAAAGTTCCCAGATGCCTTTGCACGAGGCCGTGGACAGAGAAAACACTAGACGTCCTGGAATAATAACTCCTTTAAATGGCTTCAAAGAAGCAAACTGCCTTTAAAACTCTTGTAAATTATATGAAGGCAAATAAAGTCATTATTGATTAAATTAGTAGCTAATACGTATTACTGCATCCATTTATTTTAGGTTATAAGATTCTTTACTATTTTAGTTTTTCTGGAAATCTAGGAATGTTCTTAATCCTGGTTCTCAAAGAGAAGAGCAGAGAATTTACCAGAAATACAAATTCTCCAGCCCCACCCCAGACCCCCTGAACAGAGCCCCTGGGGGTTGGGCCCAGCCTCCGGTGAACAGGGATTTGGATGAACTCCACAGTCTGAGAGCCTGTCTTAACCTCCACTAAGTCTTTTCTCAAGACTGTGTCTCTGAAGCTCATCAGTATCTTTGAAATTCGATAATGTATTTGTTACATTATTTTAAACAACTGTTTCGCATGACGACTTAATGTCTTTAAGAGGTGTTAAGAAGTGACGTTCAGACCTTTAAAGCTTGTTTGCCTTATCTTAAATTCCACCCAAGTTATCGTTTACTTTACAAATTCACAGAATTAGTATTAATATGTTTTACCATAATGCAATTTATTCCCTGGTCCCCCCACGCAGTGTTGCTATTTGAGAAGTGAAGTTCAAAGGTCTGTGTGAAGTGTCTAAACTCATCCTTTGGAAAACTAAACCTGAGCTTGCCTGTTCCCGCGCTGCTCTCTGCAGATTCACAAGGCAGACTTCCTCCATTCAGAGCACCAGCACTGGTCCCAAGGATCACCATTTCATCCACTTACTCTGTGAGAATAACCCACTGCTCGGCTGTGAGCAGGAACTGGGTGAACCTCTAAGAAGTTAACGCTGATGACGGTGAGTTTGAAACTGACCTGCAACTCCCACCTGGTGTGTCGCATAGCCTGGGAGCCGGCTGGGCCCCTGTCCCAGCCACAGCGTCAGCGTGGCGCAGTCCGCCTCTGCGTGGTGGAAGCGGAAGCCCAGTGCGGCGGCCGGGGCGATGAGCGCGCTCTGCAGGATGGGCACGTGCAGCCAGACAGCAATCCTGCCTTCTGATCGCCACTGCTGCAGGGACGCTAAAATGCAGAAAACGCAGTTTAAGTGGTTGCCAGTGGGGACAGTGGAAGACGCTCAAACTCAGCTGTGGTGTCGCCTCCTCCAGCAGGCCATTTTGAGCATCCACTTGCCTCACTAGTTAGCTATGGGGGGGGGGGGGGGGGGCGGGGATCCCAAAATGGCCTCATCACACCAGCAGCGCGGGAACTACCATCGTTTATATCGGGACCGTCTTGCAGATGTGATTTTCCCACCAGTCTGAGTTCCTTGGGAGTAGTGAGGGCTGGGATGGCTTTATATTCATACCGCCAGACACATACTTGCTTGGCAGGTAATCGGTGATCAAGGTGTAGAACAAACGTATAAACTGACTTAAAATAAAACGCCATTTTAACGTTCCTTTTAACGCCTTCATTTTAATCTTTAAAAATGAGAATTGTGGGCTTCTAATATATTTACTCTTTAAACAGTTGTCACTTTGAAAAAAGCCAGTGTGGCTAACACAGCGAGACACAGGGTGCATGGGATCCTCAGACTATTTGGGTTTTTCTTTATAGGCAATGCCACAGGTTCTGTTGGACTCAGAAACAATAGAACCAGCAGTAGCTCTCGGACGCAGTTCAGTGCAGCAGGAACAGATTCCAGAGATCAGAAACTTGGAATCTCTGTGCCTCAGCACCATCATCTTCAAAACAAAGATGATAGATAGTACATACCTCCCGGGGTTGTTAGGAGGATTAAGTGGATGAATATTTGTAAAGTTCTTAAAACAGTGTCTAGCACCCAAAGTAAGTGAAAAAGAATTCATTGAAAATATAACAAGTATATGGTACTTCTGAGTTTACCAGTTAGTTTCATATAATTTACCTTCGCTCACCACATCTACCCAGTAGTTTGGGCTGGCATTCACGCAGGCGGCCTCAGAGGCAAGTATTTTCTGTGGCAAATGCTTAACACCTGGCGGAGCACGTGGAGGGGCCTGGAACTTGAAGCCTGGATGTGTGATCCAGACCCAGGCCCCTCTCTTCCGCTCTGCCTTGCTGAGCTTTCATTACCCGTTTGGTCACTGACAAGTGACAAGTGTGGTCACTGACAAGTGACAAGTCTGTACCTGCCCACACATACATGGACACCTTTTAGAGGATGAACAATGATTAGAATCTTCTCCTGGTGATATTGCTGGAACCAGCAATTCATTCACAAGCAGGAGAGAAAACAAGAAGTCGGGTTAGAAGTGAAGATGACTTAAAAGAGAAATAGGAGCATTTGAGATCTCACTCTTTGGGCATATGCTGTCAGTTTGGCTCAAATAAACTCATAGAAATTTTAAAAACAAAAACAACCCAACCGAACAACCCTGCCCACCCCAGCTCAATTATATTCACAAAGATGTTCACTTGCCATATTGCACAATAGGACTGAGATTATTTGAAGCTCCTGTTAGTGTGAGGAAATTTCCCTGGCAGCATTTCCATGTTATGCCTTCAATCTGTTTAGTTGGGGGGGGGGGGGTATGCAGTTTACAAAAACAGGTCGCTCCACCAAATCTAGGCTTCTCTCAAAGTGAAGGCTCCTCCATCCAAACTTTCCTTCTTATCAGTGGACTTTAAGGTTCAGAGCGGACAGTTTTCTTACTGAAAACGAGCCACCCACCCCTTTCCTGATTCATCACAGCCCCTGATCCGATTTGTGTGCAATATGACCACTGGAAACCTCTGGTCCACTCACTGTCCACCACGTGTGTGAGCGTGTTCGGGCAGAGAGCCCGGCAGAACCACTGCTCGGTAAATGACAGTGACGAATAAAGTGATAGTACCGACAAAGTTTACCCAGAGTTCAATATGGGCGACGCCGTGCTAAGTACTTCACGCTCTTTATCCAACTTAACTCTCAGCGACCCCATACGCTATTACCCAGTTTCACTGAAGTGCAAATGGTGGCTTACAGAACCTGCCCGAGGAGAAGGTCACACGCTAGAAGACGGACCAGAAACTGGGATGGCGGATCCCAAAGTCTAGGATCGTCACCATTTCCAGCAACCTCCACGGAGTCCTCCCAGAAAAGGGGGATCACGCGCGCCCCCTGGGCTCCGAGCCAGAGAGGCGCAGGCGTGGGGGCCGCGGTCACTTCGTTGGCGCCAGGGGTAGCCAGGGACCCTCGGCTCAGGCACTTGCCCTGCAGGGCCCTCTGGAAGGCGGCCGCGTCCAGGCAGTCCAACACGCCTAGCCGCACGGAGACGCCCCCGAACCTGTCCAGCTCGCCCCGCAGCAAGCCGGCTCCGGCGGGCGGATCCCGCGCACAACCCGAGCCGCCCAAAGCCTTGCGGTACGGGACCCAGAGCCTGGCGTCTCGGACCCGGGCAAACACAGCGCGCAGATAGCCCCGGCTCAACAGAAGCGACATCCTCGTGCCAACACACGCCGCCGGCTCGCTCTGCCCCCAGGTCGCTCCACCCCCGCGCCCCAGAGGGGAGGTGCTAACGTAAACCTCAGAAGAGTGCCGCGTAGGCTGCCCGGTGTTGAGCGGGCTTATCCCTTTGCAGTGCTATTCCCAGGAGACCGACAAGACCTGTCCACCAGCTCCTCTGGGCCGTTTGCTCGGCTCCAGGACAACGCGGGGTGGGGGGGGGGGACTTTCCCACCACTCTTCTCCCGCGCCTCCATAGTTCAATTCAGCGCATGTGTATTCAGGGATGGGGAAGACAAACGGAGATTTTTTAAAAAGTCCTGCCGTTCTGGAATGTGCAATCTTAATGAGGGTTCCGTCCACCTAATACGTCTTTCTTTGAAGAAGAACCTCTTAGAAGACAGCGAGTTCTGCACACGCTCGAGTGCCCTACCTTTTGTTCGCTTCACTCGGAGAATTACGGCGCGGGGGTGGGGTCTGGCTGACTCCTGCCCCGGAAGTTTTTCCGTCAGTAAAGCCCGCACGTTGAGCCGGCTTCGCTGCTTCAATTTCCAGGCTGCCTTCCTTCCCATCATGTCTTCCAAGAAGAACAGAAAACGGCTCAGCCGGAGCTCCGACAGCGGCTCGCCCTCGCCCGCCACGGCTCACTCTCCTGTGGGGGCCTCGGGGGCTTGTGCGGGAGGTGGCTTCTCGGAGGCGACCGGGACTCTGGCGGTGATCAACTTCTTAGAAAAGGGTGAGAGTTGTGGGAGGGCGGCCGAGGGGGCGCCACCTGGGGGGCGGGGGGGGGGGTACGGAGACTCCGCGGTCCGCTCGGAGGCGCCGGGCGCGGTGGGTGGCGAGGAAGAGGAGGGAGGGGCTCGGCTCCCGGCCCGCCCCGGCGCAGGCACGAGCGCTTTCTGCGGGGCGAGCGCCACTGTCCTTTTGTAAATTCTCTTGAATAGCCAAGTTACACTTGAGACAACTTTGCCTCATGCAAGATGTCCTATATATCTTACGGCAAAATAGCTCCTTTCTAGCTACCATAGGAGAAGAAAAACGAAACCCAGTTCAGTCCAGATGTAGGTACATCCTTCCTGAGGGACGAACCTGCGCCCTCAGGGACGAAAGGTGGCTTTTCCTCGCACGAGCGTATGGGCTCTGGGGTCGGGCGCGGGGGCAGCTCATCATTGCCCTCGAGTGTCACCTTCACAATTAATCTCCACTGACGCCCCGGGACACGGATACTCGGTTCGTTGTGACCATTTCGCAGGTTCCACAGTTATTACACACCAGTGGCGACAGTTGAGTCCACACGTGTGACCTCGAATCCATTACCCTCGATCTCAGCTCCTGGGAGTTGGGAGAACGGATTTGCCAGGAAAGTCTTGGATGCAAATTCTCTGTGTGTTACAACTTCGAAAATGGGGCGGAGGAAAGGCATGGTGAGACTTGTGTCTGCGCCCCTGCGGATGGGACGCAGCGGCAGCGGCAAAGCTCGAGTGTAACTCTGTACTGGGGGCCTGGAAGCCTCCGTCCTCACGGTGGACAGCATGGGCTCCAACTTCAAAGGTCCCCAGACTCACTCGACACCCAGGTAGGCACTGCCTCCTCAGCTGGTCCCTGCTTGGCCTGCACCCTTGTGTTCCCTGGGCTGCCCCTGCCATGGTCACTGGCACAGATCACAGATCACAGATGCACCAGACTGCACCAGACCGGCTTCATCACTGACCACTTTTGACCTCTCTCTCGTAGTTGCCCCGTTCCTCTTCCGTGAAACACTTGACGCATCTCGAGACTTTTCTAGGTTTTATTCTAACTGTGGTAGGTGCTTGGTCAGTTTCCTGTCCGGCTAGTCTTTCACCTGCCACCACATGTTGCAGCCCTCTATTCTTAGTCCTCACCCCCTTCTCTCGAAATGTCTCTGGCAAGTTCCTGCGCCGCCCTGAGTTTTGCCATCGACACCCCATCATTTTCAGATTGATGTTTCTGGTTTGGACTGCCTCCCTGTCCTGACTCACTGATCTCTAGAGCGGCCATTTCCAGTCTCCTTTATCTCCTGGCACACGCAAACCAGTTACTAAAATTCCGTGGCACATCAGAATATATGTTTTTTGCTGATCTGACAAGAGAAATAGGTGTAATTTTGACTCATGCACACCAGACAGCTGTTGTTGAGTTGGCTGTTGTCTTTTTTTTTTAATTTGAAATCTGAGGGAAAAGAGGTTGCTACCCGGGACTGAATAGTCAGTCAGGAGTTTTGAAAGTTCTTGCAGCTGAAAATTGCTGCTCCAGACCAACGCTTCTCCGACTTGTAGGGAAGGTTTTAAAATTTCAGATGGGTCACAGGTCAGTGCTGTTGCATGATACAATAACAATGAGTTAAAAAATAGAAATCTGTATGAGATTCAGCAGACGTAAGAGGACTCTATCAAGTGGCAGTCACAGTTTCTAAACGTTCATTCTTCTCTGTACTGACCAGGACCCCGAAGCACATGCTCTGCCGACCACACGCCCTTTGACTTGCACTGGGCCGTCACTCTGCTCCTGGAGTTTGTTTCCAAAGGCAGGACTGACTCAAGAACTCACCTCCTGCCACAGGACAGACTCCAGGCCTGTTCAGTTTTCCCACTTTAAAATCTAGAACCCGGGAGTCCTGTCTGGCAGCTCTCTTACATCTCCTGGGCCGAGTCTGCCACCAAGTCCCACCTGTCACCTCACTCTTCTCACTTCTCATTCTCCTTTGCTCCGTTCCCACCACTTCTGCAGAAACCCTGGACACCGGCCTTGACCACCGGCCTTGTCCACATGGGCTGCTGCCTGTGCTGGCCAGACCAGTCCCTTCCTGCCCTGCAGCAGAATGGACTTGCAAATGAAGGCCTTGTTGGAACCTGTGTTCCACCCCACCCTGGCCTGCAGTGCTATCAGAGTAAGGCCAGTGGCTCTATGCCCCCACTGCCAGGGGTGGCCTTGACCTTCCTTATGCAGCCTGATTATCTCCTCTCTCTCTGCCCGTCCTGCTCTCCCCCAAGAGATCTTCTTGTTCACAGTCTCTGTACATGCTGTTCTCTTTGCTCAGAACTATTTTTTTCCCCTCTTCATTTAGTTATTAATTTCTACTCTTCCTTCAGAATTGAGTTGATATATTGCTTCCTTGGAGAACCCTACTTTTATTCCAAATTAGACCATATCCCACATTGAAGGCTTTCTTTCTAGCACACTGAGTTTTTAATTGCATTCATGTTAGTTTATGGTTACGCAGTTATTCACTGATTGTTTGATAACTGTTACTCTGTTAGATTGTGAGCTCTGAGAAGCCAAGAACTTTGTCAACCCTGTGTCCCCAGCACCTGGTGTAGTGTCTGCCACACACTAGTCACAGAGTGAAAGGTTTGCCGACTGATGAGGGACGTGTGGATGGCTGTTTGAAATGACCTTTACTGTCTCGTGAGTTAATCTGGCTCCTAAGGGCCCAATGAGTCTGAAATTAGTTCCCAGGGTTAGTGGATGTCGAGATGCATTTCCAAGTCAGTCTCCTAGGAGGGAGGATGGGCGCTGGGAACTGCAGGGCAGCGTGTGGGTCTGTGTGCTCTCAGCAGAGGGCACAGTGGAGATGTCTGGAGAATCAGACCAGCGGACGGATGCGAGTGTGATCTCCACAGGTGGCAGGGAAGACTCGAGGTATTTGGAGAAGCCCGGGGTTTGTCACATCCCGGTGCTTGGTGGATGTGCAGGGTAGGGCGGGACAGAGAAAGAAACGTAGACTACTGCTGACGACTGCTGCGCCGGTGAGGTCACTGTCACGAGGCCGTGTTAATTGTGAGGCCGTCCCCGGGGACACTTTGCCGTCGTCGCTGGTGGGCAGACTGCACGGGAGACCCGATGCTCACAGGGAAGCTGACTTCCTTTCAGGCTCTCATAATTATGCAATACGGTCTTTTTTTCAATAGATTTTATTTATTTATCTTTAGAGAGGAAGGGAAGGAGAGGAGAGAAAGAGCAATGTATGCTTGCCTCTTATGAGTCCCCGGCTGGGAACTGGCCTGCAACCCAGGCATGTGCCCTGACTGGGAATCGAACTGCGGTTGTTTGGTTCACAGGCCCACACTCGATCCACTGAGCTACACCAGCTAGGGCTGGTCTTTTTTTTTTTTTTTTTTTTTAAGATTTCATTTATTTTTACAGAGAAGAGAGGGAGAAAGAAAGAGAGAGACATCAGTGTGTGGGTGCCTCTCACACCCCACGCAGCTGGGGACCTGGCCCACAACCCAGGCCTGTGCCTGGACTAGGAATTGAATGGAACCAGTAGCCTTTCGGTTTGTAGGCTGGTGCTCAATCCACTGAGCCACCACGGCCAGGGCAAAACCTGCTCATTGTATATTATACTCAGTACTGTTAACCTGAGCTCTGTGTAATGCTTCTTCATGTGTTTAGGTAGGTTCAGTTGGTCTGATGACAGGAGGAGAATCAATGTGCTAGGAAGTTGTTTTGTCGTAGCGGAGTAATGTAAATCAGATATGCCTCGTGCTTTTCTTTCATTGACTTAATTTTTCACTACAAAAGAGCTGTTTTTCTGATTATTCAGGAACATTAATATTAGAGCTGTATGATTATGGTGTATGTCTGCAATTCTATATAAAGTTTGTGGCAGGTTAAAATTTCATTAAGTATTTTATGGGTTTTTGCTGAAAATAAAAATATTGCAGACTCATCTACTCCATTCGTTCATTTTACAGCTACTGTGCAGCTGCTACAGTATTTGATGCCTTGCTAGGTATTGGGATACAAAGATAAATGTGGCCCGATTCCCGTCCCAGAGCAGTGTACAGTTTGGGAGAGAATCAGACTGTAAAACAGACAAATATTATGGTGCTAAGTGCCGGGAACTGGCAGCAGGAAGTGCCGGGGGAAGCAGAGGAAAGCGCTCACCAAGTGTGAGGCCCGAGGGGCAGGGTGGGTGGGGGCGGGATGTCAGCACGTGGTTTTCAGAAGCATGGCCAGCTGGGCTGGGTGCTGGCCTGGGCGGTGTGCAAGTGTTCTCTCGAGGGCTGCTCCCCTCTCCTTGTATTCTTGGGAATGGCCATGGAAAATACCCGATTGCAGTGGAAATGTGACCTGAGTGTCTAGAGCCCGATGGTAAACCAGCTCCGAATTTCGACTCAGAGCCTGTGACGCACAGAGGAAGGCTCAGACGTCCAGTTGCGAATGTGCTCAGTTCCTCATCAAATCGAAAACCACTTTTTAAATAATGAAAACTACTAGCTGTTCCATAAAGCATCCTGTTTTTAAGTTAGCGCTCACACTGTCTGGATCCTCCAAAGGTTTGGTCCAGAGCCTGTGGAAGTGAGGAGGGTCGGAGTGGTGGTGTGTCCAGGGCCTGGTGAGTGGAGGGCATGCCCTTAAGTTCCGTTACCAAATAATACAAAAATAATTTTCCTTTCCTCTTGGTAGATGACAAAATTCCTAAAAAGTTCCAGAACTCCCTTGTTCAACTTGGACTCAGCACCATGAAGTCTGCAAATATATGTATAGGCCGACCAGTGCTGCTGACCAGTTTACATGGAAAACAAGAGGTACGCGTCCTGGTCATTTCCTCAGTTCTGGAACAGTTGAGGGTTTCCGGTCATAACCATTGTAATTTTCAACACGAGGGAAAAATGAAAACCTGCGTTTTAAAGACCCTCCTCCTCTGCTGCCCGCCGCAGAGGGAGCGTGGTCGCTGCGCATCATGGTGGGGAAGGGGATCTACGCTGTTATCCTCACACTCCCAGTCTGTCCCTGGTCTCCGCAGAAACACTGTTTGGGGGGGTGAAGGTCGCATCTTTTTTATACAGTTCCTGACCACCCTCCCTGTCTGCAACCTTGTGTCTCCTTGCTGCCGGTTTTTGGCAACTTGGCTTGTTATTGTTTGCTGCAGTCCCTGCCTCTGCCTCTGCCTTGGGTCTTGGTGCCCTTGCATCTCTTACAGCCTCAGCAGGGGCTTTGAAGTCTCTTCCCTGCTGGTGTTGCACCTCCCAGTCTGTTCATTGTGTTGGGCTCAGACTTTTAAGAATGCTGCACGGTGTCTTGTGCAAGAGAAGACACTAAGTGTATGGAGCTTAACATTCGCTTGCTTAGGTCCAGGTCCCCCCTGGAGCTCTGATGCCAGCCCCCCCCCCCCCCCCCCCCCCATTTCTTAGATGGAACTTGTGCCCCAGGCTGGCTGCTCGACAGGTGTCTTCCCTGCAGGGTCTTATCTCACTGTCTTCTCACCTGCAACACCTGTCTCTTTTCCTAACCCCGCCTCTCAAATCTTCCACCATTTTCCCTGCGGGCTCATTCCTAATCTTCACAAAGGGATGTAATACTTATAAAAAGCTCTTTCATAACTTGTATCAGATGGTAGTGTCTCTGGCCGATGCATGTACTTGGCTGGGCTTCACAATCACCGATATCCCGTGAGTGTTAATTCTCTGGTGTTTTCTTCCCTGTGTCCCGGGCAGGTCTACACCGCCTGGCCTGTGTCCGGCTTCCCTGGAGGCAAGGTGGGCCTGAGTGAGACAGCCCAGAAGAACGTGGGTGTCCGAGTCGGCGACGCCATCCGCGTCCAGCCTCTGCTGGGCGCCGTGCTGCAGGCCGAGGAGATGGACGTGGCGCTCAGGTCTGGCCCTTCCCTTTGCTGAGGCAGCGCCGCCCACCCACCCAGTATTATGGGAGTATTCGTAGAAATAGTGGGAGTCACAGGCGTAAGCCACACAGGAATCTCCTGGTAACCACATTGACAAAGTAAAGAGAAACGCGTGAAACCAGTTATAATTTGTATTTGATTTAAGCAGTATGTGTTAAATCTAATTTTAACTTGTAACTGAAAACTAATAATAAGAGATATTTTCTAAATGTTTTTCACACTAAGTCTTCAAAACCCAGTGTGTGTGTTACGGTTGTGGCACATCTCGGTTTGGACTGGCCCCGTGTGTTCAGTGACCAGTGGCCTCCCGCGTCAGCACAGGTCGGACGGTGCCGAGTGGCTCAGGGTCGGGGGGCTCCGGTGCCCACTAGTGGAGTGTGTGTGCCCTGAGACCTCTGGCGAGGGGAGGTGTTGCTGATGGGGCTGGACCACACCCTTCATCCGGGTCCGCAGTGCGCTCAGGGCTGCGGGTCTCTTCGTGGCTCTAAGGGAAGGCGGGGGTCGCTGGGAGTGGGCAGGAAGCACGTTTTAATGGGGACTGCTCCGCACAGGACCTGATGGCGTGTTTTAACTCACCGATTATTCAATCTAGCGAAACAGTTATTTCCATCAAATTTTTGAATGGCCCCTCACCAAAGACTCGTTGTTTGAATCAGCCTGTCGATACAGTTAAGGCATGTCTCCCATCCTCTAGGACATTCTGTATCTAATAGGGTTTTGACTAGTTTGCATGTAAAAATCTTATCAAGATTTGTTTTTGAAAAGAGCATCTTTTGATACTTTATTTTTTAATTTTAATTATTGATTTGAAAGTTACAGATGTTGATATGTTGTTCAGTTATTTTTTTAAAGATTTTATTTATTTCTAGACAGGGGAAGGGAGGGAGAAAAAGAGGGAGAGAAACATCAGTGGTGGTACCCACACACCCGCAACTGGGGACCTGGCCTGCAACCCAGGCATGCGCCTTGACTGGGAATGGAACCTGGGATCCTTTGGTTCACAGGCCCATGCCCTATCCACTGAGCTACACCAGCCACGGCAAAACAACAACAAAACCCCCCAAAATCTTATGTGTTAAACATGGCAGTAAGCCGACCTTAGATAAGAGACTTACTTTCCAATAAGAAAAATCAGTAATTTTAATCAGCTGCTTAAAGCCTTCAATTGTACTCTAGCTGAAACATTTCATTAGTGAGTTTAGAGTGCCTTCTAGTGGAAATGACTTTATCTGCACCCATTCTTTTTGCAAAACTGGTTGAGTGTTTTTTACTGTTCTTGTACATCAGGGGTGTCAATCTCATTTTCACTGGGGGCCACATCAGCCACGAGTGCCTTCAACTTGCCACTCCTGCTGCGGCGTCCCCTGTGCCATCCCCTGCTGTCTGCAGTCACTGTCCCCTGGGTGTCTGTGATGAGCAACGCAGCAGAAGGCTGGGACAGTGTTCTGTGGCTCTGACATTTCGCCTCCTTTGCCCACATCTCAGATGGGGAAGCTCTGCTGGCAGTGACTTGGGGGTTACCAGTTCCTTTAGCCAGTAGGTGAACCTGCATGTGGGGAGTAGCAGACAAAGAACACACCAACTATTGGTTTTGTTCCTGAGAAAGTGGAGGGTATGGCTTCGACCTGGCCCAGGTGGCCCTGCTGATACACCTGTCACTGAGCCCGACCCTCCTTTTCTGATACTGCAGGCCCCGTGGGCTGCTTCCAGAGGGGGACAGAGCTTAGTGCATGTGTTCTGAGAGCCCCCGAGGACACGTGTCTGTGCAGGTGCCCTGGTTTTTAGGTGTCCAGTTTTCTGTACTCAAACAAGCAGCTTTCGTGACATGTGCTGGTAGTCGGAATAGGGTTCTCATTTTTCTAGGCGAGCTCTTTCTCCAGAATAAACTTCCTTTGTATCGTTCTTATTTCTGCCTCTTCAGATAATGTATTATGTAGGATTTGTTTTTTCTGAAAGATAATTTATAAATTCTACAAAGGGAATGAAGCAAGCTACTAATAAAAGCTTCTTGCCAACTAAGCAAGTTTGGTAAGGGACAGTGAAGGCCAGCGTTTTTCAAATGTTCTTGACTGACACCCAGTAAAACATAAACATTTTTCGTTGCGAATTGTTGCACACACACATCTGCAGTATATACACAGTGCACATGTGCACACGTGTGTACCTGTGTGCAACGGGACAGCGTGTTACAGAGCAGCATGTGCTGTCTCTGTATGTAATGTGCTCCGACATCCTGTGTTTCATTTAGAAAGTGCTGGGCGGGGTTGACAGGTGATTGCACCGTCCGCTGATGGACAGTCCCCTCTAGTCCGGAGAACACCGACTTAGGCCCCTAGGCCGTTCAGCTTACACGGCTAACAAGAACTATCTGAAAACTGTAAATCAGTCCAAAACTGTGAAAATCCTTTCCAGGTTGTGAACGAATTATGCTCTCGATTAGGTCTACATCACAACTATGTGTATGTTAGTTTATGTTTAAGCTTCTGTTGCGCTTAATTTTTACTTCTGTTTTCTTCACCCTTACCCTTTACAGTGACAGAAATGTGGATGTCAGTGAGGAACAACTGGTTGATTGTCTTCTGAGAAAACTAGGTAAGGCATATTTTAAACAGATCTTTAAGAAGCAAGGCACAGCAAATAAAGTGGTGTGTCTTTGAGGTCTTGTAAACTTCATATTCTCACATTAGCATAGAGAATATTCTCAATGAATTAGTGTCCCCTTAAGACAGGGATGTGTTCCCCACCCCCCCCCCGCCCCCAGTTTATTGGTTGGTAGTTGAGCAGCAGAGGACACACACCCCGTCTGTGGACACAGCCCTGGGGGAACTGAGACTCTGAGCCCTTGAACTTGTGCTCTTCCCAGTGAGAAATGTCATCTTACTGTGCTGGCGTAACTGTGCCAGTTTAGTTTATTATCAAACGTACGGACTGTTAGTGCAGTTGGGCGAATCTTTGCCCTTTCAGAGAATTGTCTTGCTTTTCTTGGGTCTCCAGATAGTGCTCCCTCATAGGGGAATAGCAGGGCCTTAGTTTTTATGACAGTTATTTTATTGATACTCCCATCTTTGATTGAGTCTTCCCAGTCAGATCTTTTTTGTGATAGGTGAAACAAAGGGCTGTTTACATATTCAATGGGTGAAAAATGGCGCTAACGCACATGTTCAACAAATCGTGTTACAGACGGCAAGATCGTTTTGCCGGGCAGCTTCCTGTACATTACGTTCTATGGACGGCCTTGCAAGTTGCAGGTGCTGCAGGTGAAAGGAGTGGATGGCGTGGTGCTGCGGTGGCTGCAGAGCGACTCCAACACGGAAGCCCCGGGGGTGGCCCCTGAACCAGCTGGCGCCGGGGCCAGCGCCCTGGATCTGCCCGAACGGCTAAGCCAGCTGGATCTGGACGAGACCCGGGTCCCACCATCAGGCAGCACTCCCTGCAAACCAGTAGATGACAGAAAGAAAAATAAAGCTGGTGACATTTTGTCAGATGTCACACAGAGTCCTGGTGGCAGCAGCGGGCTTGGGCCCGAGGAAGTTACAGCCCCTGAATGTAGCTTTGCGTCGGCCGGAGGAGGAAACGAGGGCCTCGCCAGTGAAGAGGGTGCGCCGGAGTCAGCCAGTCTGGGGGCACAGTGCCACACCGATACGTTTTATTTCATCTCTGCAACCACCAGAGTCAACTTGGTAAAAGGTCACACAAAGTCGAAGGAGCCAGAGAACCAATTCAGAGTGACTTACGACATGATAGGAGGCTTAAATGGCCAGCTGAAAGCCATCAGAGAGATAATTGAACTTCCTCTCAAGCAGCTCGAACTATTCAAGAGTTACGGTAAGATTTCTTCAGTGTATGGCACCCGGAGTGTTCAGTTCAAACTGAGAAGCAGTTGCTGGTTCCACCTGTCGAACGATTGCTCACCCTTTTACTTGCGTTTCTTTCCTGAGCGGTAGATGTGGTAGGAGGCATGAGTTGCTTTGGGAGGTGCTAGTTAAGTGAGCTTTCTCCTCGGCTCGGTCTCCTTCGGCTGTGATGAGCCAGCTGTAGCCTCGTCTGTTTTCATCGCACGCCGCGCACAGTTGTCTGTGCCAGATCTGCAGTGCGTGTCTCATCAGGCTGGAGGAGCGGTAATGACGGAATCAGCCAAACATGATACACGTCTCGGTCAGGAAATGGAGCTGTGTGCGCACGTCTGCACTGCGGCGCGTGGTCCCGGAGCGGCTTGGTGGTTCCTGGCAGTCTCAGGGCTGCTTCCCTGTGGGCATTGCCCCGTTCTCTGCATGTGTTTGGTACACAGCATCTCCGTCTCTGCTTTTTTCTTTTTCATGAATCTTCATATATACATGTAAAATGAACCCTCAGGTTGACTTTTTGGTAGGAATGCATACGTGTTTCAAGATGGCTGGTGGATGAAAATTGGGATTGGTGGCTACATTATGCACTTGTTGTCTGGACATGTTTTGATAACGTGGGGAGGGGCCTGGCAACACCGTGGTGTCGGCCGCTGCGCCTGGACAGGGTGGGACTGTAGAGAAACAGTTACCGCCGGAGATCAGGGTGTGGCCCAGTCGGTACATCTTCCTGGGCAGTGTAAAGAAGGTCTGACTCTTACTGTAGTTTTGCGATGTGAGGTAAGTGTAGACTTTGACCTTGTGTTTTAAGCCATATGACAGCACTTACAAGAGACCTAGCCGTGGTGAATTCAGTGTGCTCTCGTTTCCTCGCAGGGATCCCTCCGCCTAGAGGACTGCTACTCTGCGGCCCCCCCGGGACCGGGAAGACCATGATTGCCAGGGCCATCGCCCACGAGGTCGGGGCCTATGTGTCCGTGATAAATGGTCCGGAGATTGTGAGCAAGTAGGTGCTCACTCCTGTGGGATAAACGGTGATGTTGAGTCTACCTCTTCGATGTGCTTTTCGGGCTCCATGGTAAAGATTTAGTTTAGCTCCAGGTGGATTACTCAATCAGCTGAGTTCGTCAATGCCTACAAATGAGGCATGACTGAATTTTTACATGTCTTGAAAAACCACAGTGAAGTTCTGGAAATTAAAAATGTACATCATGATGATAAACTCTGCCTATGCCATTATTACTTGGTAATAATAGATAAAATGTCACAGATAGTATTTATTACTGAGCCCCAGTTACAGTGATTTGGAGGATGGGGTAAATATCTAGAGTGAGACAGACACAGAGTCCTAGTCGCAGAGATTTAAATTATTTAAGGGAAACCAAACAGTTCTGTGACCTTATTATTGAGGAGTGCTGTCTCTTAAACAACTAGAACAACATTTGGTCTCATGTTTATCTCCTCACTGTAGCATTGCTTTAAAAGGCAAGTGGGTGACGGTTATCGTCCAGGAAAAACACCATACTTCAGTATAGCATGCTTTTTTCTTTTAAAGAAAAAGTACACTTTCTTTGGGTTATTCCTTCATTTAATCTTTGTTGTAGTAGGTGAGTGGAAGTATCTTTTCAATTAGAAAAAAATTCTGGATCAAATGTAGCTGGAACAAAACACCAAAATACATGAACTGTCTGTAACTCGAAAAACTGTTTGTCTTTACGTGCATTCGCAGTTGTGATCAAATTTGTCGTCGTGCACACAGACCTGTTCTGCAACATCAAGACTCTGGTTTCGATTGTGTCTTTGTTATTCTCACGCTTAATTATTTCCCGGTGTGGTATGATTCTTTATGTGCCGTATTCATCGTCCACTCTGTGATTTGTGCTAACAAACCCGCCCTATTTTTATTTTAGTAACTTCTGCCAGGATCGCGTTCCATGTGTTATTCTTCAGTGCTTGCCCAGATAGAAGTAACTATGTGTAAATATCCCACAAAGACATGAATATTAGGAGTAGTAGTAACATTCTCAGGTGGGACACCTTCCCTACTGCGTGAACAATTAAACTTGCGTCACAGCCTAAAAAGAAACAACTGTTTGTCTGGAATGTTGGCTGCAGACTGGACAATAACTTAAAATTATTTAATTTTCTGTACAAATACAGGTTCTACACTGGGTAGAAAATAAAGTTTCCCTTCGCAAATAGTATACAAGACTAATTGTTGCAAGTACACGGTTTACCTTAAAACATTAGAAATGTCATACAAATTTTTGCAAGTATACAGTTTACCTTAAAACATTAAAAATGTCATACAAATTTAACAACACAGGGTATCTTCACTATATACAGCTTAATACCTAATAAAAGTAACTTCCATTCTCGCGGCTCTTTCATAAGACTATTTCATAAAAGAAGTAAATTGAGAGGCCTCTGCTGAGAGATGGGACGGCGGGTGGAGCTCTGAGAGGACGCAGCCGACTGCCTGGTCTGGTTGCAGCTGCCGGCGTGTCCTCGTTGCTGTAGTTTTAAAACGGGGAACGTGGCGCACCTTCGTAAAGTCTGCCGTGGACCCTGCCCGTGGTCCCCAGCACTGCAACCCCACTGAGATGCTCTCTCCTCCTGGACGACACCCCTCACTCTCCGTAGCTGCCTGGAGGCCCTTTTCATTCTCTTGGGTTGCGTGTAGATGACCAGCGTCAGCCCCTCAAACCGAAAGGCTCATTAGTCCGAAAGCCATGACGGGTCCTTGGGTTTGTGGAGGCTCAGGTGCTGAAGGCATCCTGACTAATGATGATTTATTACCTGCCGGGGGGTCACCTCTGCTCAGCGCCAGAGATGCTCTGAGTAAATGTGTTTTTTTTTTTAAAAAAAAAGGTTGCCTAGTATTCTCTCTGGTTGTTTTGTATGGTGAACTGTTGTAAATTTTTAATGTATGTACAAGTTGTTTGGAAAATAATTTTTGAAAGCAACTTTAAGTATTCTGGAACTATTTGGAAAGGCAGATGAGCTTTTATAGAAAAGGCTTTGAAAACAACGAGTTGATCCTTCACTGTATTTTATTTGTTACAGATTCTATGGGGAGACTGAAGCAAGACTGCGTCAGATATTTGCCGAAGCCACTCTGCGGTATTCTGTGTCCCAATGTCTGAGATTAGTGGGTGATGATGTGTGTGATCAGAGTAGAGATGCCAGCACTCGATGCAAAGCGAGAAAGAATAGCACAAAACTAATAGTGGTAGCACTAGACTAGGTTGTAAATCTAATGACTTTCTGTCTAATGCTGCGCTAGTTCTATCTAATGCTACTTTCAAAATTTGATAAATGAGTTACTGAATTACGTAAAGTAGCAAAAGGTACAAACTTCAAGTTATTAAAGAAATAAGCCATGGGGATGTAATATACAGAATGGCAGCTATAGTTAAATTAACAAAACTGGGTTGCATATTTGAAGGTTGTAAAATTAGTAGATCATAAAAGATCTCATCACAAGAAGAAAATTTGTGACTACACATGGTGACTATTTAACAAAAATACAGATATTAAACTGTTATGTCCTATTCCTGGAACAACATAATGTTATATGGCAGTCATCTCAATTTTTTTAAATTACATAAGGCAAAGGCATGGAGACAGCGTTGCTTGATGCCGCGCGGCTCTGCTTGAGCAGAGACGTCTGCCGTGGCGCTGTGTTTTGGGCGTCAGGCACGGTCGGCACACACGGCTCCCTTTGTGGACTGCAGTGCACTTAAAACTTTAATTGCACTTGGCTGCAAAGGGACAGTGTCTTACTCGGTGACAGTTCCTGTTGATTATTGCTCAAATAAGGCTACCCTGTCCCATTGTAAGGAGCATTAGAGTGTGGTTTATAACTTGGTCTGATGTAATGTTGTAATACGGCCATGGCTCTCCTGTTGTTTGGGTATGTAACTTACCATAGTCACTGCTATCTTATCAGAAGAGCTTCCATTTGTAAAGTTTTTGTTTTTCCCCCGTAATAGGATAGTTAGAATAAGGAGTCTGTTGTCCTAATTCTGAAGGTGTAAGCCCCAGGCTGTTCATTACTGTTTAGTGTATTTCCGCTATTGTCTTGTTCCTGGCTGTTGAGGTTCCCCTTATGAGAGAGTTCACATCTTTTTATGGGAGAATTGACCATCTTGAAAGTTCTTTATTTAATAGGTTAAAAAACAGAGAACATTTCTACTTCCTCTCCCTTGGACTTGAAATCTGCTCCTAGGGACAGCATCTCTAGCCTCGGCTCTGGGATGAACCCAGCCCGACGGTTCAGGTGCACCAGTGGGCCTGCTCTGCCTGGGCGTGGCGGTGATTCACGGGCAGTAGCCTGTTCTCGGCGCTCTTCGCCGAGGGCAGGCCCACTGGCCTGTGATTTTGCTGAATTGGTAATTTAGGCCACAAGTAATTAATCTAAGGCCCTTGAGTTTAACATGCTTTTTGCCTTTGCCTGTATTAGTATTAACGAAATCCTCCATGTGACATGTGTTTGATTTATAAGGTTAAACCCATGTAGTTTTAATTCTTTAATGGAAACACCATGTATCGAATTTAAACATTAAGTGTGTATTAGAGAATTCATTTTTCTTCTTTGTTTTTAGGCACCCATCGATTATTTTTATTGATGAGCTGGATGCGCTTTGCCCTAAAAGAGAAGGGACTCAGAACGAAGTGGAGAAGCGGGTGGTGGCCTCGCTGCTGACGCTGATGGACGGCATCGGTTCGGTGAGTGCGGCGCATGTCAGCGCTGTGCGGGGGGGGGGGGTCCGTCCTTGGTCATTTGTGCACACACACTGGCACACCTGTCGGACATGCCTGGAAGTTTGGGATTTTCTAGGTTCAGGGGAAAATACCGGCCATAAAAACGAGAGGAAAGGACCATAAGATAATTTTCTGGGGCAGATTTCTTAGTAACTGCTAGGGCAGTATAACCTGGCATATTTTTCTGCCATATGAAGTAATATACAACAATGGGCCCCGGCTGGTGTGGCCCAGTGGACTGAGCGCCGGCCTGAGAACCGAGGGGTCACTGGTTCAATTGCCAGTCGGGGCACAGGCCTGGGTTGTGGGCCAGGTGCCTAGTGAGAGGCCTGGGAGGGGCAGCCACACACTGATGTTTCTCTCCCTGTCTTTCTCCCTCCCTTTCCCTCTTCTCTGGAAATGAATAAATAGAATCTCAAAAAAAAATAATATACAACAATGGGTTTCTTTTGTAATAAACATGTTACTAAATTTTGGGGAATTTGCAGAGAAATCTCATGAGGAAGAGATTTCTTACACACATGCAGAAGTGGACTCTCTGGGGACAAGTGAGAGGAGAGGACAGGGGAGCACTGGGAAGCGTGTCTGCGCGGCGTTTGGGTAGAATCGCTGTGTGGCAGCCTCCCCGACAGGGCACGCGTGCGCTCTGAAGTTAACGAAGTCGGGGCTCATCACAGGACACGCACTCCTGACAGTCCTGACCAGCAGGCGACACTTCCTATGCAGAGTTGTGAATGACTTACCTTTTACAATCACGTTGGAACCTGAGAAACTTTTTAAATCGTGTAACCCCAAGTGCGCCTTTTGCACATTGAAAAGGATGGAGTATTAGAACTTACTGGTTTGTGTAGCCTGTTGGTAGAGATTGAACATGTGAAAATAATGTGAAGGTTTCTTTGTGAGTCTTTCTCTTTTTTTTAAATCTTCACCCAAGGATATGTTTATTAATTTTAGAGAGAGGAAGGTTGGTGGGGAAATGTCGATGTGAGGGAGAAACATTGGTTGGCTGTCCCCTGTATGCTCCCTGACCAGGGATCGAACTCACATCTTCAGTGTGTGCCCTGACTGGGCATCGAACCTGCAGCCCTTCGGTGTACGGGAGGATGTTCCCGCTGACTAAGCCAGCTGGCCAGGGCGAGCCTCCGTTATTTGCTGACAGTGTGTTACAATTTTAAGAGTAACACAAGAGAAGGGTTGCTCTCTGGGGGAAGCTAGAGGACCAGCTGGTTCTCAGTCTTGGGTCAGTACCTTGGGGCAGTGGGCCGGTCTCGGGTTCGGCTCTCCAGGGATGGGTCTGGAGAAGCCAGTGCCGGTGTTTTGGGAGATGGTGAGGCTCTGGTGACTGACCCACAGTGGTAACACTTGCACCTCTGACAATGCTAACCAGGGCGCAGGTTGGTTTGTTTACGGTGAGAAGTGGAACTGTTAAGCTGACCACGCACCTTTGTTTATGGATGACTCATGTCACCCGAAAGGCATGTATGTGAGGGGAGCTGTATTATGATGTGGATTCTTGGTGGGTGGGCGTTCAGGTGAAAGGCTCTGTGTTGGGGCATCTTAATCACTGAGGCACAGGGCCTTTCTCTGCCCCTGGGCAGGCCTGCACGGGACTGGGGTCACCTTTGGCCCGAGACACTGATGTGTTAGTGAAATTTAGTCCAAAGATGTTTGGGGGCCTGTGCTTGTCTTCTGACTCCATTACGACCCCTGCATTTTCTGTTGGCGCAGCCGGTGTGGCCGGGGAGGTTGGGCTTCCCCCGAAGCACATGCCGGCCGTGCCGTCTCTGTGAGCTTGCACCTGGGTCTTCCGAGCAGAACGTGGTCGTTCTTATAGGTGGCTGGTCATGATCCTCGTTCTTTATACTTTGTCCCAAATTTCGTTCTCAGTGGAAGTGCGTACACAGTCAAGGGTGGCTGGCACTCTGGTGTTGGTTATATTGCTGCCAGTGTTTTCAGGAATTTAAAAATCTATCAAAATTAAAAAGAAAACAGCCCATATGTGAAGATCTCTTTGACAACTATTCTAGTGCCTTCTGTTTGAATAACCTGTAGGCGGTAATCTTTGCTTTCAAGTAAGGGAAAAGGACAAAACATTTAAATTAAAATAACTATATGCCAGTGTGTTATGTGTTAGTGTTCGTAGGGATAGTGGAGGAAGGTGCTGGGTGTGGGAGAGACACGCTCACAGGGGATGGAGGGGGGCGAGTGTTGGGACAGTTCCTGGGAGAGGGAGCCCTCGGCTGAGCTTCGGGGAACTTGGGGTGAGTGGCGGAAGCATAAGGGCCCAGCAGCCTGGACACTCGGGCGCGGGTGCGTGTGTGTCTCATATACATACATATGTGAGTACGTGTACACTTTACTTTTAGAAGGACAATTTGTTTTTATTTTATTTTGGTAGGAAGGAAGTGAGGGACAGGTGTTAGTCATCGGGGCCACAAATCGCCCGCACGCTTTGGACGCTGCTCTCCGCCGCCCCGGGCGCTTCGACAAAGAGATCGAGATCGGAGTCCCTAACGCTCAGGACCGGCTCGATATCCTCCGGAAGCTCCTTGGAAAGGTGCCCCACGTCCTCACGGAAGCCGAGCTGCTGCAGATGGCCAACGGCACTCACGGCTACGTCGGAGCAGACCTGAAAGCCTTGTGTAACGAGTCAGGTGAGCTGGGTGTGCTGTGTGGCCAGTCTGTGTCCGTGGGCTTCGCAGCCCTGGTTTCTATTTAGGCACTGACCATTTCTGTCTCATTTCCTAATGAAGACGGCTGATTCTCTCTAATCGTAAAATATGTATTTATTGAGAAAAAATCTGGATAATTCAGGAGACCGTAAAAGGAAAAACACTTTTAATCCTCCCTTCTCAAGACAGCCACTCTCACGGCACACACCCTCTCGGGCTTCCCCGAGCCTGCACACAGATGCGTGTGGCCGTCGCATTCACGGGGCGTGGGCACACACCTCCGGCGCTGTGAGGAGGCTCCTCCTCCTCCAGAGTAACATCCGGGGCCCCTTCTCCGGTCGGGACAGGTGTTCGGAGCGGAGGCTCTCACCTGGAGAACGCAGCAAAGTGATGGCCAGAGGGCCACTCTGGAGTCTCTATCCGGATGTGTGGGCCGGTGCCTGTGGGCGTGGGACAGGCTCCCAGCTGCTGCTGCTGCTCTGGGGACCACGTTCAGGGGGCCAGGACACAAGACGTTGGTTCTTAAATCTCATTACGCATCATGTTCACCTGGAAGCTGCATGCACACACCCCGCCCCGCCCCGTTCCTAACTGAGGGAGGCAGGTGGGGAACCGGAATCGGGATTTGTGTTTCCCAGGTGACTGTGAGGCAGCCGGTCCTGCACTTGCCTGTGATGGCTTTGACTCTGACTCGGCCCGTGGTTCTCCCAGGGAAACTCATGTGAGGGTCTGTTGTGGAGCTCATTAAGAACACAATGCTGGGCCCCCTGCTGCTGGCTCAGTAGGTCTGGGTGGGGCACAGGTGCTTTGCATCTCTGTCACGTTACAGGTGGATGCTGCTGGTCGGGGGACTGTGCTCTGAGAGCTGCTGATCTAGGCCAGACAGCGCTGTGAGCTTTGAAGGTTCTCTGTGACTGATTTAAATGACCAGGTTAGATTTAGGGAATGCAGTTCTCGGGCTACGTCCGCTGATTGAGAGTTTCTTCCCAGAGTTCTTATGTGACAGTAGTGTAACTGTCCCGAACTATGTCATTGAACTCTCCTGCTCTGTGAGAGGGTGCATGTCCACCTTTGTTCTGCAGGTATGTACCACGGTGTTGAATAGAACTTGAAAATGAGTTCTGAAAGATAGGCCACGATGAAGGAAACAGTTAAGAATTAACACTTAAGAACAGAAATAAGCGTATAGACAAAAGGTTTCCCTACAACATCCGCCTGCTGTGGTCCGTGGACCTGTGTGTTCTGGCCGCTTTTACGTATTGCCTGTCGGCTGGTGTTCTTGCCTCCTGACTGCCTTCTGGTTGGAGAATTGCTCTCATTAACCAAATGCGATGCACAGATGTCTGAGTATCACATACAGTGAAGTGATTCTGAGTTTCACAAAACCTACACAAACTGCGTCGCTGATTGTTGTTTGCAAGATAGAGCCCCGGAGGTCCAAATCCCCATGGCACGCGGTCGTGGGCAGGCTGGCCACCTCCCCAAAGCCTGGCAGAGGGGCGCCACCCCCCCCCCAGCGTGCTCATTCTCAGCTCCCCCAGTCTGTCCAGTGTTGCTGAGTGGTCTCTATAACTCCCACCTTTGTCTCCATAATGAGTGTGGAAGTTGGAAATCCGCAGTCATGTTGCTTTCAACACCCGGATCTCTTGCTGTGTGAGCAGATACAATACTAATAGGGCCGGGCGTGAAACTTATTTTCAAATGTTATGTGTCCTTTCTAATTAACTTCTGCGCTGGAGCTTGATTTGATATGTCGTGACCTGTCCAGAAAGCCTGGTCCTCTGGACCAGGCTTTGTAAAGCACAGAGCAGCTGTGGTTTGCAATGTTCCGTCTCAGCCGGACAAGCTGTTTACGAGTTCAGCTCTAACATATCCTGACATGTAATGTCTGTGTTTGTACTCCTCCGGGATTAGGCTGCCTTTAGAATTAATTAGTTGCATAGCCTTTTATTAATTCCCTCAAAATTTATAATGTTTTAAATTAACAACCTAGATAAGCACATTACACTTTTTTGGAAAACATGAAATGTTAATTATGTAGCAGAGACATGAATTATATAAACTCAGCTGAATGTTCGAAGATGCTTAGCAACAGTGTTTTCCAAATATAGGGATTTATTATAAATTTGTCCTTCTAAGGCTGCCTGAGCCGTTTCAGGAGCGTGAACTCAGTAGAGCTGATTTTTCCGAGAGGCGGACTTGGACATTCTGGTTCCAGTCAGAGAAAGTATTTGCTTCACTACTCTCCAGACTTACCTGTAGCATTCTTGTTGATTACACATCATTTCACTGTGTTCGTATCAAATACTGGGGCATTGGTGAGACAGCGTCACGGAACAGGAAGAATGAAATTCACATTTAAACAAGGATTTTACCATTGTTACACTCAGGTCGGGGTCATGAGAAGACTAAATCTAATGACTATAAGATACCTTTCTTCTGAGTTGGAAAATTTTACCTGTCTTATAGCAGAGTCCTGAGATATTGATGGCTGTTAGTCCTCCGTCCTGCCTGTTAATAGCTTATTTTAGTGGGAATTTATGGTGCATCTGCTTTGTACAAAGTATTTAACTCTTACCAAAGGTTCTCTTTCTAACATTTTCCACCGTGTTTGGAATTCTTCCAGTGGTGTTTTCTAAGTTGGAATTAAAGTACCGATTTTGTGAAAATTCAGCCTTTTTAAACAAAGTCCAGGGACCTAGTGGAGCCTAGTGGCAAGCTGTGGTGTAAGTTCACGCAGTGGCACTGGCCCGAATCAACTAGCCGGCAGTCTCTGGGCAGCCACGCACCGCTCGCCCCCGGTCCCCTGGCCTGCTGGGTAGGGTGACGCACCCGGTTAACAGTTCTTCGGAGGTTCAACAAAGGCCGGCGGCAGTGGACGTGGCTCATTCAGGCCCTTGGTGAGTAGGGCCTTTCTTTTTAAAAAAGTTTCATATGTTTATATGTATTTATGCATTTGCAGAAGCTTATTTGAATTTTGGCAATATTTCTGGTATTTTATGAAGCACTTGTGGTTATTTTAGTACAAGAGACACTGGGGAAATTTGGAAGATTCTCTGCCCGGCTAGAGTAGTGGTTTTTACTAAACCTGGATCTGTGAATGTCTTGCCGGCCAGTAAGAACATGTGGGCTGGAGGCGGATGTGGCTTGTTTGGGGGCCTCCGTGACAGATTTTCCTCCCGAACCAGAGTCACAGCCTCTCCCCTCCCTGCCTCCCTTGTGACACCCTTTGGAAAGCGGTGGCAGCCCCGGGTGGTGTGGCTCCGTGGGTTGGGTGCCCCCCCCACACACACAAAGGGCAGGTTGTGGGCCAGGCCCCCAGGCGGGGTCCTGGGGGAGGCAGCCCGGGTGTTTCTCTCCCTCCCTTTCTTCCTCCTTTCCCTCTCTCTAAAAGTAAATAAGGAAAACCTTAGAAAGGAAACAAACAGGGCAGCACTTCAGAGCAGACCTGGCTCCTGTGATCAGCAGAGGTCACACCGGTGACCTTTAAATGGGAATAAAGCCAGAACCCCCCAGGGCCTCTTGAAGGCCCCTCCTCGGTCCTTTCTGTGCACGGGCAGTGGGGGTGGGACGCTCCAGGGACGTCCTAAGTGACACCACCTGGTCTCTACCTCATACTGAGTTGAGGGGCGTACAGACTCCAGGTACACAGAATTTTTCTGACGTTCTGATATTTTGAGGAAAGCGCACTTTACAAGGGGAGCCTTGGATTTCGTTGTGCTTGCTGCAGACTCTGTTCTTCAGTATACCATTAGGTAGTTTCCCGCTCCACTCTTAAAATTCAGATCCGAGATTCAGATGCTCACGTTTCCTGTTCCTTCTTCACACAGTTGTCCACAGGCTGGGTAGTAATTCTGAAACAGCACTGTTATTCCTGGAGTCAGTCGAAGTTCATTGTTAGTTTTTAATAAAGGAACTTAATTGCACTCTCAAAAAGAACATCATTATTTAGTGAGCATCGGGTATAAAATTTTGGGATGCCGTGTGCGTGCGTCAGGATGGTGCCTGCCGACTGGGGCCGGAGCAGATGGCGTTGAAGAGCGAGCATCCGGAGTCAGGTCCGCACACAGCTGAGTCTGGGCAGCTGAGTCTGGGCAGGAGGGGTGGCCGCGCCCTGGAAGGGAGGGGCACGAGGGGGCAGGCGTGCCCGGGGCAGTTTGCTGTCTTCCTTTGTCTTGTTTTCTATTCTCAACTCTTTAGAGGTTGGAAAATAAAATAATGAAAACAAAATGACACATTTATTGTTTAATTAGCTACACCTGTTTCTTTGTGTCAAAGATTGTGAAGAGCAGGGAAGTATTGCTTCTGTTTTTGTTTATGTTTTAAAAACTTTAAACATAACAAGGAAAGGACATGTCACCGAGTGCTTGCTCTAAGCTATATTTCTCGATGGCGTACATGTGTCTGTTTGCTTCTCTGGTTAATTGTTTACTTCTGCTTTAAAAATAATGTGTGTTTTTTAAAAGTTAGTTTCTTGGCCTAGATCCTGGTACATCCTTGTGAGGTGTGGCAGGTGTCCCCTAGTTTCAGCCTAGCTCGCAGGAGTTGAAAGCTGGAAACGTAATTCAGAGAAAATAGATTTTAAAGTTTCCACTGAATGCGGTAATGGATGGCCAAGGAGGCAGCTGATGTAAAGCGACACCTGGGCCAGAGGCAGGCCTGGCTCCAGGGGGCGTCCGTTTTTGCTGACACTCACTGAACATCTGGAGGCCTGTGACCCACAGCTTGTTCTTTCTTCCTTTCTGACAGGCTGCCACACTTTATCTTGTCACGTATCCACAAACAAATGACCACAGTTGGATTAAGGTTATTTAAAACGTGTTTCTTCGTATTTGTAAGAGTGAACTCTTTAAGCATTGGGGTTTTGTCTTGTTCTAGCACCTCATGGTCTCAGGTGTTATGTTCCTCTTGTCCCTGGGCCTTAGCTTGCTCTTCTCTCTGCCTGGAATACTCTGCTGCCTTTTTGGCCATGTTATTGGTTTAATATCAGTTCATTTTTTTCAAGTCTAACTGCTTGAATTTGGAGGCACCTTTTAGTCTCTCCTCATTTCTGAAATAAAGGAATATACTGATGATTTCTGCGACAGTTGTCTTAAACTGCCACTAATGCCCCACTGCGGTCGACGTCCCTGCCATGACGTGAGAGGAGATGAGCATCTCCTTGCCTTCCATCCTTTCTCCTTCCGACGTGTGCGTTGTGTGTGTCACTGTCCTCTGTGCAGTTCAGCTTCGGTGGCACCCCACAGATTCTCCGGTCATGTCTTACCAACTCCATACAACATGGCCACCTCTCATTTGGACACGTTAAGTTTTGTCGTGTTCGTCACAGCATTGACTTTTGTGCTTTACTACTTGCTAATTTTTGAGAACTCGGGACTTCATGTTCTGCCTCTCCTGTCTCCCCGTGGACCCAGCACTCTTCTCCTGTTGCCCTCAGAGACCTCAGGTTCTCGTCCAGCTCTGCATTCTGTGTACGTCGAAAGCACAGAGGTTTTGTTCTTTTATAAACATGGAGTTGTATCGTGATGCTGTATGTCCCTTTTAAAACCATGTACTGTTGCCTTCCCTTTCCAGACCTTTCTTCAGATGAAAATAATAGGTCTTCTTTATTGTTGATCTTTATGCTTACATGACATAAATGTGGCCGGAAAATGATCAGACCCCTTCCCTTTAGTTTTTCGTACTGCAGTTCTGGTAAGAGGGAGGTGTCTGGTCTAAATTAGACATATTGACAGGTATTGCCGTACAGCCACTTGGGACCTGAAGAAGAGTAAGATTCTTCTGGCCTTTTGCGTACTTCCATTTATAGAAGATTCTTTGTAGGAGCTTCTTAAATTCTTTCAGACCACCACGCTGCTATTTGATACAACACAACGCTGTTACCGAAGTTTTACTTACTTTGTTTTCTATGCTACTACTGCACCATTTAGTATTTCACCCTTTTAAAAGAAATTCTCGAAACAGATTATGTTGATGAACCTTTATGGTCGTTTTTGTAGATGTCGTTTATAAGTTTGATTTCACACTTGTAAATTACCTAACCTTTTCATACTTCGCATCGGTTTGTGGTCGTTTCCCTGCCAAACTAAGCACTTGGGGGTTTGCCTCCATCCCCCACACTCATCCACCTTCCTCCCCCCCCCCCCCCCCGGCCGTCCCCACCCCGACACACAAGCACAGCACCTTGGAAATGCTCTGACATGCGTGAGGTTTGAGCTTGTTGTCAGTGGTGATGGTTCAGTCTGTACTTGGCGGGTGGAAGGTTAATCTTGCCTTGCTTTTCCCTTTGCAGGTCTCCGTGCCTTGCGGAGAGTCCTGAAGAGACAGCCTGGCCTCCCTGACAGCAAGGTGGCCGGGCTGGTGAGGGTCACGCTGGACGACTTCTTGCAGGCGATGAATGAAGTCGGGCCCAGCGCCATGAGGGAGGTTGCCGTGGATGTTCCAAACGTGAGTCGTTCGCACCCCCTTGTAGGCTGCACTGCGTTAAACTCTGAAAGGGACAGGGGCTCTAGGGAAACTGCTTTCCTAGGGTAAAGTTGAAAAAAGTTTCAATTTATACTAATAACATGCCTCTGCCTCTGGACTTCTTGTTAATATATTCAAACTAGAGCTACAAGTTTGGTAAGGTATTGGCCAAACATCTTATAGGAAATACTCAGTTGGCAATTTGGAAATGCGGTTTTGGAATTCAAGAGGAAGCCAGGCTCCAGTGTTTTATACTATTAAAGCATGGCTGGGACCTGCGGAGCTGGGACCTGTGGGGGTGGGGGTGCTGGGGAGGTGCCTCTTCTGTGGGGACCACTGTGTTCAGGGCTGAATGGCCCTGTGATTTTCTTTAACTATATTAGTACTTCTAGAGAAGGAGCAGTCTTTACTACACTACTACGTGTTATGAAGCGTCAGAAGAGCCATTACAGAAGTTTGCTTGGTCACAGACCGTGCGGGGCAGAGACCGTCCATTCGCAGTGTGGTAGATGGCAAAAAACGACCGCAAATTCTTCCCATCACCGTGCGTCTGCCCTTTGCACCTCACCTTTGTAACTCCCACCGTAAAACAGGAGTCAAGTTCCCCACCCTGGTACCTGTGCTTGGCTGTGGACCTCGGGAGCATGCTCGAGAATGCTGGGGGCTTGCCTTCCCACAGGTCTCAGCCCCTGTGTCCGTCACTCGGGTCACAGAGGAAGGATGTGCTGGTTCCTGGGGACGAGAGACCATGCAGGGCAGAGGCGAGCCCTCTCAGCTGAGGCCCTCCCAAGTCCAGCCCTTGGGCTGGGCCAGTGGTCAGGCACGGGACAGCCCTCTGGACTAGCGTGTCCCAGCCGGAGTTGGCCTGGAGTTGACACCGGAAGAGCCAGCCGGGAAGCCCTCAGAGTTGTCTGAAGTAATAGATGTCTTTTGTTTGGGGCCACTGAATGTTGGGGTGGTTAGCAAAAGCTAAGTGATACAGACACGTGTTAACTTCTTACATAATAGAACACAACTGTTTTGTAAACTGAGGCTGGGAAGTGGTACCCTAGGGGTAGGAACATCCCCAAGGACTCGCTGCTAGTTTAGGCCAGTTAATGTGGTTTCGAAATGTTTTTGAAACATTTTCAAATTCACTGCTGAACTTACAGCTTACCTTCGGGGTTTTTTAGAAGCTCTGTTGCAGAACATGCTAATTTAGTAAGAATAATTTGATAAATGGGGTTATGAAATAATGATTGATGTTGGGTTAGTAGAAACTTCTCATTTCTTTGGAATTTATGGTCTAAAGTTTGGGCACATTGGTATGAATACTTTTATTTGCAGTATTTATCTGTATTTTATTAGCTACTTTTGCATAGTATAATGGGTCAGATAGATGCCTACCCATAAAATGCCACATGTTTCAGATGATAGGGTTATAAATCAACGACACCATCCAGAAACACCTCACTGTGTAAAAACTGGAGGAACTGGGAAAACGCGCAATGAGGTTTTACACGTGAAGTCGCTGCCAGTGGAGAGCGCGTCTCCACAGTGGTTGTCAGCTCCTGGGCCCGCTGCGCTGATTTATTCACCCCAGGACCTGGCCCTGTAACTGCGTTTTTAATTGCGCTAATGAAAGGTTTTTTCCTATATTTTCTTTTGATACAGTATTTACAGTGCATGGACTTGTGCCATTTTCCACTTGGCACTTTGTGGTCTGGCCTCGGGCCACGGTGTCCCGTGATGTGCTCACGGCCGAGCCCGCACCGCCGGCCCTGGTCCAGGGGGTGGCTGGACTGCCTTCTGCGCTCACCTCGGGCTGTAAAAGGGCTCCCGAGAAGTCAGCGTTTCTGTAATTGGGTTCCCGAACTTCACCCTTCTGATTCCTGGCTACTGCATCTACAAAAACATCTCCAAATTACTTCTGCAGAAAGTTTAATGCTTATTTTGCTATAGAAAACGTGTTTCAAGTAGGTAGTTAATTGTGAGCATTTTAAAATAGTAAATTGAGCATTCAGTATCTTTTGAGAAAAGATTTTAGTGTGTGAAATTATAACCTTGAAATCACACTTGCCTAGCTGTATTTAAGTTTGAAAGAAATGTCTTAAGATGGGAACGTTGCCAGTTATAATATAATACATTATTAATTTCAGGAGACTGTGTTAGCCACTTACTTAAATTAATGTTTCCTTTTTTTGGACGCTCTGAAATGGTGATTATACCACTTGGTGTATTAAAAGTCAAATGTATTTTATAATTAATTGGTGATTAAAGTCAAACGTATTTCTTTACCACAGGAATTCTTAGAATCCCTGAAAAGTCTAATACATAGTGAAAGTCCCGTGTGTCGCCCAGAGATAGCAACTGCTAATATTTTGTTTTGGTGGATTTTAAAATTTGTTTGTGTGCATATACATATCTTAATATAGTTAATCTTCGGGTATAGTTTTATTTTCTGCTTTTTTCACTTAAAATTATATGGTAGACATTTTAGTTTAAAATTTATTAGCTGACATCTTTTTAATGACTGAATAACAGACTTATGTATATGAGCTGTAGTTGTTTTATCCTTCCATTTTCAAACACTTAGGTGTTTTATTTTCTGAAATAGTTATAAGCATGTTTTTGTCCAGTCTTTGCATTTGTGATTCATAGAAGTCGAATTGGTAGAATATCTAGTTTGGTTTCTAGAAAGGTTATTCTAATTTATAACCATGTGATAAAAATTTTTAATTACAAAGAGCTTAAGCAAAATCTTATTTTATTTTCACTTTAGTTCTTTTCTTCTTTACTTTCTACTAGAGTTTGTTTTCTTGACCGAAGAGGTGCTCTTTTATTGTGAGGAGTAATACTGGGTAATATTTAGACGCATAGAGATTTTAAAAAGAAGATGAAAAATAACTATAATATGCCTTCTCTTTTCTATAAAAATGTTAAATTTTTAGAGGAAGGGTATAGCTAGATGAGTTTTTAATGGATTTTAAGTTTTAGAGGGCGGTTTCTTTTTCTTTTTATCCTTATTACTTAGCATGTGACTAGTACCTAAGAGATGGCCAGTCAACATTTGTTGAATGAACGCGTGATATAATTTTTCATGAAAAAACATGTTAGATGGTTCATTTCAGATACATCTGAAAAAGTATGTCACTTTCTTCTACACCAAGGGACAATATAGTTAGTCTATTATTTCCCACATGTAACATTCTTCAGATTTTCCATATTTTATAAAGCAGCTGATTTCTAGAGTGAATATTAGCCCTTATTATTTGTTCAGTGAATATAACATTTTTGTAATTAAAATGCCTATAATAGTGCTAAACTGTCTATTATGGAAGGATATAGAATAGTCCCTTATATTTTCTGCAGAAACATGTTTTCTTAATGTATTAAAAATTCTTACTAAGGTAAAGAAAAAATAATGCTTTTAATATTTGTATTTGTATATTACCTTTGTAATAATAGGTCATTGCATACACGCCCCAGCCATTATCACTGGTAAATAACATTCTTAACCAAATATGTACAAATTAATCTCTATCAAGTTTAATTCATGTATGCATCTTGACCACCGCTCCCCGTCCCAGGCTTTGCCTGTTTCATTTTATGTAGTTCTAGGTTGTCCCTTATTATTTAGAAATAATCCATCTTTATACTGTGATACTGCTTTTGGATTACAGTTTTCCGAATTTGGACATTTGGTTCAGAGTAACCTAAAAGCCAATAAAAAGACAGGGCTCTATTTTCATGTGAACCCGCTTTTGTGAAGTGGACTGCGACCAGAACCTCAGGACTAGCTGTGTGGCCCCAAACCCACTTGGCAGCGTGGGCCCAGGTCCAGCCTCCAGGTGGTGGGCGGTCACCGAGTCACCGAGTGAGCAGAGCACGTCGTTAATTAAATGAACACTGTCTGTTCACTCCCTTTTTGGGCAGTAGCAAACTTCTTAATTGTATGAGTAACCAAAAGCCTGTCTGTTTCACTAATTACATATTCAAAATTTACTGATGTATTTTCATTTGGCACCTTTGCAGATGAGAGCAGATCAGCAGAATGTGACCAGCCAGGTGAATTTCATAGGATGAGCTCGTTAGCATTACTTCTCTGTGCAGAGATTTGAATTAAATAGTTGAATTGACCATAATTACAGTTCATTCTTCATGTACCCCCAGGATAATTAGATGGAATGTATTTGAGTTTCTATATTTTAAAAACAGCACTGTGTTCTCTATTTTCCTTATTTTTACAGTTTCGGAGGGTTGAGGGTTTCTGCGATGCCTCCCTAAGTAACAGATTGCTGTTTTTGGAATAGACAGTGCAACCGGTGGAAACTCTATTAAGTCCATATTGGTTCTTGGCAGGGCCCTGCACGCGGCCTCCCTGGATCCGGGCTCTTGTTGTCTAGACAGGGGAGCGTCTCCTGTCACTCCCCAGGTCCCAGGCTTCCCTGCCAGCCTCTCGTGGGCGTTGTTACAGTTTTCAGTAATAACAATCGAACAGGAAAGCACACTCGGGAAAGTAGGTTACTTTTAACCAGGAAATACTCTGTGCCAGAATCAAGATTGTAGTTTTAGCTTTATTACATATTTTAGAAGCTTAACTCTTTCGTTCCACTTTTCTTTTTATAACTTTTCTCAGGCCTCTGTAGGGGCAGAAAGGAGGAGGTAACAAAGGTTCGTGGAAGAATCACCAACTTCCATTCTCAGCTGTGATCCTGGATACCTTTGGTGAAATCAAACTCATTCCTTTAGATTATAAATGGCAAATTCAGTTTGCAGTTTCTTACGGGTGTCTTCTTTGGACTTTAGGAAGAGCGCTGCGCTTGTACGTGCGGGTGATCAGTACTCAGTAGAACTTGCTGAGCATTTGCTGAAACACCGACTGTCCCTGGGAGCAGAGGGACCCAGGGCAGGGTCCGTCTTTGGTAACAGCTTTATTGAGATATAATTCACGTATCAGCTCGCCCATTCAGAGGGCTGACTGGGGGTCCAGTCTACTCCGA